GAAGCTATATCTGCCATAGCTGGATCGATCGTGGCACCATTCAAGGAAAGAACAACAAAGAATTGAGTAAGAAGAAAACTTAGAATGAATAACTATTATCTGTATCATAAAAATATATCAGTAGTTTATATATATAATGAAAAGTTACTACAAATTATAATAGAAATAATAACATATTTTAACAATAATTAAACTATATTTTGTATTGTTGTAATATATTACTAGATTTCTTACAAATAATTTTCAAAATGAAAAAACAGTTCCAGGTAAAACAGTAAATATTTTCAAAGATTGATGAGTGATGGTGAATAGAAAGAGATCAATTAACGATGATCTACTGATCTCTTTCCTCTCTCTCTCTGTAACAGTAAGGTAAAGTAAAAGCGTATTAAACGTTTAGTACTTTGGTTCATTTGAGGGAATCAAGTGGACAAACTAGTTTGAGTCTTATACTACTTTTTCATACCAACGACTTTGCCCCACCATCCTACTTAGTTAAACCAGAGAGAGAGAGAGAGCGCGCTTTAGAATTTTAGCTAACCAATATTAAGGTTTTGTTTGGTTTGATTTTTGGTTAAAAAACATTTAAAAAAGAAAATTGATTGTAAAACAATGTTAAAAAATAATTTATGCTTAGCTAGAATATATTTTAAAAGTGAATTTAAAAGGATTATTGATCTTGCATGGATAATATAAGTTAAAAAGTTTGGATTTGACGGGTCATACGAGAATCAATTTAAATATTCACTTTAAAAGTTAAAATTGTTCATTCATCTCAAAATCAAGTTTTCTTAGGGTAGAATTTATTTTGGAAAGGAAAATTTCAAACCAAACACATTTATTAATTTATAAACTTAATTTTAAAAAATCTCAATTTTACAAAATGAATTTTAATTAAAATCAAGTTTGAATTAAATTTATCTTTGTTTAAATCTTTTAATTGATTGTAATAAAACTTTGTATAAAAATAAATACACGAATCATAAAATTTTTATAGTCTACTTTTCAAATTTTCCAAGCATACAGTTAATTAATGCAAGACACATTTTAAAAATTAAAACTAACTCAATTTAATTTGCTGCTCATGCGTGACAATGATAGTAATATGAATTGTATATATTTTATATAGAAAGATGCACAAGAACACAAAACATGGATCAAACATACAAAACGATCTCTTCTTTGATAATAGATGGGCTCTATCCATAAAGTCACATGCGTAGAGGTGAATGTGGCAATTCAGATATAATGTTACCAATTTTAAGTCACTTAAATTATTTGCTTCTATACAGTTTGCAGCCATCAAAGTTTGGATGTTATTAGGTTTCAATAAATTTTTCTTTTCCAAATTTTCTTTTAAAGTAGCAATTAATTTGACACCAATGGTTATTAACACTTGCTCACTAGATTCTGGCCCCTTCAACAGAAAAGTGTTATCTCATAAAATTGTATATTAGATTGAAGGTTTAGGCTTTAATTACCTTGATGTTTACCCTATTAATCACATTAATATTAGAATCTCCCTATCTCTATCTTGCTTTGACTCTTTCCCTCTCATTCTACCTATTAAATAATGCCAAGTCAAGTTTATAAATGCTACGTTTAAGATTAGCCACAATAAAGTAACTAATATACTACCATTTTACGTCTTCTTTTGAATAATGAACAATTAACAATCGCAAAATTTGAAAAAGGAAGTATGATTTTGAGGATATTTAGAAATTAAGTTTGAAAACTCGCAGACTATTATATTAAGAGAAGTACTTTTTTTTTTTTATTTTATAATTGCTGCAAGAGATTGTAAGGTTTCCTATAATGGTTTTTAATCCAAACTTTATTCCTGTTCTAAGACAGCGTTGTAAAGGTTTTGCCATAAGATAAATTTGTACACTGCAAGACCACACCTTTTTATTTAAGACAAAATTATTCAGTATCATAAAAATATCAGTTAAAATATTTAAAATAGTTTTTACCAAAATATTATTAATATATTTTTATTATAGTTTTTAATAAATTTACAACATCATATTAAATTTCTTTCGTTTTCTAATTTCTTAATCATTATCTTAAAGACACTCACTAGCAAGCCTTTATTTAATCATTTTTTCAAAATATATACTAAATTAGAAACATGGTCATCAAATCTTTAGTTCAAATTTTTATATATTCGATAGCAAACTGTGGACTATGTTAATCATTTTCGAAGAAAAGAAACATACATAACAATGGCCTATTATTTTTCCTTCTCTCTCTCTCTGTGTGCATGAGAGGAATAAAATACGTATAAAACGGAATCGTTTAGTACGTACTTCACTTCACTTTGAAATCAAGTAGAAAATAGAACAAACTAAGGGCTGCTCAGATTTATAGATACCTCATCATGGCTTCATCAACGAACCACCCTCATTCCCTCAACCAAAACCATTCCTTCTCAGCTCAGAAAGTTATCAAGTTAATAAATAAGTTTTGTTTTTTATTTTTTCTTTATTGTTTGAAGCTGCTTTTAGTTACCCTTGATTCAATTTTACATGCTTCACCTTTTAATAATATCTGGGTTTTGTATAAGATTCAGCATTAATTAGCTTGTAAAGCTGTACTATAATTGTACTATGTGTTACATTTTTCCTCCTTAATGAATGTGATTACGGACCTAGTGGTTAACCTATAGGAATCCTATGTCAGATTTCATTAATACAATCAAGGCAAACAGCAAGGTTGAGAATTTGTTAAGGTTATTTGCCAGGCTATGATAGGAAGGTCTTTGCTCAAGAAACATGACAAGCTAATGATGTTTCTGGTTTTGAAAATTGCCATTTACTCCTTCTTGGTGATCATTGGAACAGTAATTCAGATTTATAACAGAAGCTTTCTTACAGTCATAATTTGTACCATGCTTAAGTGTTGCTTCAGTTATGGCTTTGAATATGCTGGTCCTAAAAGAACCTCAGGGTTATTGCCTCTCTAGAGAGAAAGCTGTGTTCATGCCAAACTCTGTTCACACAGTGTGTTAGAGTTTCTCAATTGTGCTATGTTTTGTATCCTTAATGCATGATTTGCTTTATTTTAATTTGAGTTTGGATTCTAAATAGAAATAAGAATGCAAAGTGTATTCCAGTCAAAAAATAGTGATAAATACAGTTAATTTTGTTCCACCGTTAAACATTTCCTAAAGACGAGTCTAATCATTATCATAGGTAATTAAAGTTGATAGAAAAATGAAGATAAATTTTTTGAAAGCTAACCTCCATTTGTGATTTTTTTTTTTTTTATGTTTAAATAATTAGCAGTACTTTTTTTAAATCTTATCTCCAATTTATTGTCATGATTATTGTCTGAATATGTAACTGCACGTCTGTTTATACTCTAACACACAAATTCTAAATATCATAAGGACACTAATTAAACAATAAAAAATAAACAAACTCTTAAAACATTTTTACTGGGATTTTTAATAAAATAAATAATTTAATGAATTCTTAACCAATATCTTTAAAAATAGTTAGTAAGACTCATTTTTTAATGGGTTGTCCTCCACCAAATTAACCATTGAGGTTTATAATTAGCTGAATTCAAATTTTCGCTTTTCAAAATTGGTTTTGCATTAACTACTTTCAAATTATAATAAATTCTTGCAGCAAATAAATCTGGACTCACAATTGATATAATTAGACGCCTTTAAAAATCTATTGCTTTGTTTTATTTTAGAATGTACTATGTAGTTTGTATTTGTGTGTTTTGATATCAAGAACGTATTTAATCATGTTTTTAAAGTTTATAACTTAACTTCTTTTTCATGAGTTTCAAAAACAAATAGGCTAATGTAAATCGGAATGCTATTTATTCTACAATACATATATTAATAATAAGAGGAGAAAGAAATACTACCGAATACATAAATCAATATAGAAGATTATTAACAATATAATTTCTTTCATTAAAAGATATGCATGTTCTAAACTATTTATTTATTTTTAACCAATGCAAAAATAAAATAAAATATTTTTAGTCAATATTTTTTTTTTTATCTTGTTCGAATACTAATGAAATAAATAAAAAATTTGTTTTTATTAAAGATCAAAATGATTTCTTTTATCTTTTTTTTTTTTAACATTGTTTAGAGCTGTATATATTAAAAGGGTTCAATATCAATATTTTGCGTTCAGAAATATAAAAAAACAAATAGGTAATATTAAAGAAAGCAAGCCCTTTGATTTCATAACTTACTTTATTAGTACAATTATTTGTACGATTCTTATTACATGCCTTTCTTTTAACTGTTTACATATAGGTTACAAACTTAAAATGTCAATATTTATTTTATTTGTCTTCAACTTACTATATATCTATCAATATTTTAAAAATTTTACTTAAAACATATTCTCAATTAATTATAAATTATTACGTTATTAAAATTTATTAGTTTTTATATTAATTACTTTTAAAGTCATATTTATGATCATCATTAATTAGTTAATAATGTAAAAATATTTATATTAATAATATATTAAAGTAATTATATTTTAAAACTAAGGATTATGAGAACAAAATTTGCAAAAAGAATGCATTGGAGAAGCTTTAGTGGGATTTTTTAGTGTAATAATAGAATCCAGTTGATGAAATTTATAAAATGCATATATGAAAATAGTCTAAAGATAAAAATAATATAAGACTCTTATTACTATAGTGTCACAATATTTTTTTTATTTATTCAAAAAATTTATTGTTAATAATATATTTGGTCAATTATATTATATCTGTTGGCTTTCAATGCTCTGAAGAGTAATTTTATAAATGAATTAAAATAAAAGATTATCTCTCCTGTGATAATGTACAGCAATACTAGTTATATTTGTAAAGCAATATAATTAAATAAATAAAACTAGAAATACTAGTTATTATTATATATATAATAAAAAAAGGTGCCTAAAGGGCAATGTACAGCAATATAAATAAAATAAATAAAATAAAAGTGGAAGAGAGAGAGCAGAAAGAAAAACCCTACGGCCAAGTTTGTATTTTTGCAACGAAAATGAAAAATCCTATATAAGCCAAAGCCTATCTCTGTGGCTGTAACCCTAATTGCACCGAGCCACCTATTGGGTCTACACTCTTTCTTCATTTCATTTCTAAAACCCTTTCTCTTCTTCATACCCTTCAACCAAATCCAACCTCTTCACTGTGAGTGATTCTACAAAAACCTTCAATTTCACAACTTTTCATCTGGGTCTTCCTTGCTTCTCTGTTATTAATTTCCTTGCACTACCCAATTGGATAAAGATTTGATTTTTACTTTTTTTTTCATTTTTTAATTATTTCAACTTGGGGATTTTCAGAAGTGACAGGGACTTAAGAGTCGAGCTACCATGTCGGATGATGAAAGGGAGGAGAAGGAGTTGGATCTCTCTTCTCCTGAAGTTGTCACCAAATATAAGACTGCAGCTGAGATCGTTAACAGTGTGTTTCTCACTCTCTTAATCTCTTTGTAATCTCAATTTCTCTTTTGGGGCTTTTATCATTTCATATGTTGGATACAATGTTTTAATGGAATCTATTTGAAGTTCATTGTTCTTTTTTGTTTATTTACAGTTTCATTTGTGAGTAAGAATTCAAATTGTGTGTGTTTTTTTTTAATGATTTTACAGAGGCCTTGAAGTTGGTCATTTCAGAATGTAAACCGAAGGCAAAAATTGTGGACATTTGTGAAAAGGGGGATTCTTATATTAGAGAGTAAGTTTATATAATCCTGTAAATAAGTTTACATTTCAATGGAAGGAACATTGTTTGTGATATCTTTTTTATATATATATGCAATTGGCTACTCTGTGTGTGCGTGTGTTTAGATGCTTACAGGGTATTTTTATTTGTGTGTAAAGGCAAACTGGTAATGTGTACAAGAATGTGAAGAGGAAGATTGAGAGGGGTGTTGCTTTTCCAACATGCATATCTGTGAACAACACAGTCTGCCATTTCTCTCCACTAGCCAGTGATGAGACAGTGTTGGAAGAAGGTGATATATTGAAAATGTAAGATTTTCAGAGCATAATTTTATGATAAGTGATGGTAGAATGGTCTTGGTGTTTTTAGCTATTGCTGAAAGGTTGATGGTAGTTTCTTTTCGTGGTTACAGTGATATGGCTTGTCATATAGATGGTTTCATTGCTGCCGTGGCTCACACCCATGTTCTTCAGGAAGGTCCTGTTACAGGAAGGGCAGCTGATGTCATTGCTGCTGCAAACACTGCTGCTGAGGTGGCCTTGAGGCTTGTAAGGCCAGGAAAGAAGGTAATCAATTGTAAGAATTTCTTTTTGTCTTTATCTGTGTGTTTTTATAACGTTAATTGATTTGGATTTTATTACGTGTCTATTTTCTTAACCTTATCTTTAGTGGATGGGTTTAAGGTTGTACATATTTGCTATTATATAACAAGTCTTTATAAGCAATTTAGCCTAGAAATATTGGAGAGAAATTAGGTTGCTTTATATGTATTGTCTGAAGGAATGTTTTGCCTTAGTGCCTTGTGGATTTTGATCTCTAAAGGATGAAAACTGTTTTGAGCCACGGATAAACTCCGATGAAGCTTATTGTCATAGTTACACTGATAGAGGTCATTTATGGTTTTTCTTGTCCTGTTGTGCCAGTTAAGCACATCATTCATGATAGCATTATCAAAGCTATCATGAATTTTCTTTTGTAGAAAACTTGACTTGTTTTTGGTTCCGATTGAAATTATTAAAATACAATCAGCTGGATATATCTTGTTTCTTTCCAGTTTTCCACTTTCTCTTAATTTGGTTTGTAATATATTGTAATTTGATTAGCTGATCTCTATATGATGAAGACATTGTCGGCTATGGATACACTCCAATGATGCCTTTTTCTGTCATAGTTACACTGATGGAGAATTGTTCTTCCTCTGTTCCACCCTTTATTATTTTACCTGCATGATGAACGTGATCATCCACTGTCATCAAATACTTGAGTTGTCTTTTTCTTATGATGAAATCATTGTAAAAATCTTAATTGGATGTATGAGGTTTTCTTCCATATTCTCTCATTCTTTTAAAACTTTGATTTGTAATATTATATTATAAATTTGATGAGCTGATCTCTATATGATGAAGATTTCATAGGCTATGGATAAACTCCTATCCTATGATGCCTGTTTTTGTCATAGTTACACTGATGGAGAATCATTCATCCTCTGTTTCATTTTTATCTATCATCTGTCTGTAATCCCTTAATTTGCACATTAGTGTTGGAGTAATTTGCAAATCTTGTTAGCTTTGTCAATGCATATCTGGACTGATGCTTGTAGTACACGACAAAGCTATAATATTGGGCTATTGGCAACTTTGCCGAGGTGATCAGTACCACATTGGTTCCCTCTTTTCCCTGTTGCCGAAACCAAACATGGCTGATTAGCTTCATGGTTGTGCTGATTTATATAGTTGGTACACTTGTCTAATAGCCGAAATAGTACTATGTTTAAACCATTGATCTCTTTGTATGAAGAAAAGATGAACCATTAGTTTGATTGAAGTAATATTTTATTATTTTTCATGTCGGATTGAATACACTAGCATTTGTAAACCTTTAGTAATGGCAACTTTGCCGAGGTAATTAATGGTATATTGGTTCCCTCCTTTCCCTGTTGCCTAAATTAAAATAAGCTGGAAATTATTTTATGATTATGCTGAATTATGTATTGTCAGCATGTTTGTCTATTTTAGCCAGCACAGTATTAAAATTTGTGCATATGTATAATATAAATGACCCTATTTTTAGCAGTGGGTACTAATTGTTTTTCATCAATTTTTCTTTTTTCCACAGAACAAGGATGTAACTGATGCAATTCAAAAGGTTGCTGCTGCCTATGATTGTAAAATTGTTGAGGGTGTTCTTAGCCACCAAATGAAGCAGTTTGTTATTGACGGGAATAAAGTTGTGCTTAGTTTGTCTAATCCGGACACAAGGGTTGATGAGGCAGAATTTGAGGAAAATGAAATCTATGCTATTGATATAGTAACCAGCACAGGGGATGGCAAGGTAGGTTAGTTATACTAGTATATTATCTACTATGATACAGCTTATGAATTATCAAGAGTAAGTTTTTACTTTCTTGCAGCCTAAGCTGTTGGATGAGAAGCAGACTACTATTTATAAAAGGGCTGTTGACAAGAATTATCACTTGAAGATGAAAGCATCTAGGTTCATTTTCAGTGAAATAGGCCAAAAGTTTCCAATCATGCCATTCTCTGCAAGGTGACTAGATGACTTCCATGTTTTTAATACCGTCTAGCTGGTGTTCTATTTCAATATCTTTTCATTCTTCTCTGAATGTTGTTCCTTTTTCTTTTATAATAGGGCTTTGGAAGAGAAAAGAGCTCGTCTCGGTTTAGTGGAATGTGTCAACCATGAGCTCTTGCAGCCATATCCTGTTCTGCATGAAAAGCCTGGTAAAATATTTTGGCTAGTAGCCTGATTTAGAACCCCCCCCCCCCGGGTTGGTGTTGGATTTATGTGAGCCTTTCTGTATGCATTAACATTTGTTTTTTCAGGTGATTTTGTTGCACACATCAAATTCACTGTCTTGCTAATGCCAAATGGATCTGATCGAATCACATCTCATCCTCTCCAAGAGTTACAGCCCACAAAAACTATAGATGATCCTGATATTAAGGCCTGGCTTGCCTTGGGTACAAAGACAAAGAAGAAGGGTGGTGGAAAGAAGAAAAAAGGTAAACTGGAATACCAAGTTGCTGTTTTATTATGAATTTTTGTGTAGCATCATGTTATTCTGTTTCATAGAGCTGCATGATCTGCATATGTTAAGTTTCAATGTTCCTTGTGGTGTCAATTGGGCTCACAAACAATGCTTGGTTGTTTGTATAGGTAAGAAAGGGGACAAAGCAGATGAGTCAGCTGAAGCTGAGCCTATGGACTCAACAAACGGGGCCACACCCCAAGATTGAGTTAACATACCCCTTTCTTTTCCCCATCAAAAGGCTTTTCATTTCATTTTCAACACCCTTTTCAATTTTGGTACATTGTTCACCAAATTGTATTTTGCTTGGATATGAATTTTAGTATAGTGTTCAGACATCGATTCTAATAGCAATTTTCATATGCATATTCGACGCATATATCAACTTCTAGAAAGTAAAAATGGTTGCTTGGAAATGTTTCGTTCTTGGCCTTTAAACGCATAAATCTGTTTGTGGAATCTATATCACTAGCGGCAAATGTGTGCAAGTTTAATGGTGTAATATATATAGAAATGGATGCAAAAATAAAGATAGCAATAAGATAATTATGCAAGGCTCTCTAGACATTTTAATTATACATATTTTGATAAGAAACTAAACAAGATAACTTGCATGTCATTTGCCACCAAAAGCTACCTTTTAATGATAAGATTTTATTATTTTACATTTTAGATGAAAAAAGGAAAAATTGATAGCATTGTATTTCTATAAGTCAATTTAAATTGGATTAGTTTTTATGATAAATTTAGTTATATTATCATTTGTCTTCTAATCTTTCAACAATTTACTCCCTAAATTCAGACAGTTTTCTTATGCACAATTATAACGCAATTTTGTAGATAAGGTAACTCTTATATTTCTATTGATCCCTTAAACTAGATATTAAATCCAAAATAAAACTAACAATAAAATAAAATGATGCTAAGTACCATTAGTTACATTAGGTCGTTTAGCTGAAAAATGAAGCCTTATGAGAGTTTATTGCGTGTTGAAAGTAATATATTCAACCCATTCCAAACATAATACACGATGAACTGGAAAAAAGAAAACTATATTTGAACCCATGAGTTGTGTGGAGAGGATATCTTTTTAGCTTATGCTAGTTTGAAGAGAATAATTAGTGGCTAAATTAGAGAATAAAATGAATTGGAAAAAGAATGTTGGGATAATGAAGTATAAATGGTTACATTATTAGAGAAAAGGTTAAGAAATAGAGTTGAGAAATGATTTTTAAAAAACAATTATCTTCATCAGTTCTTAATAGCATTGGCATGTCATGAGATGAACGTATGGAGGAACGATGCGAAAGAAGAAAATAATAATGTGTTTATGTGGCTTAAAATAAGGAACAAATAGATAAATTGGATGGTAAAGGAATTAGTAAAAGTGGAAAAGAAAAAGGAATTTAACTCGAAAATAACATAAAGTGGATCAAAATGTCATTGGCGTAAAATTCTCATGATCTTGATGCAGGGAAAAAAAGACCCTACTGGATTGTCATGATCATATGCAAAGATAATGGATGTAATTATGATAGAAAAAGGTTAAAATAAACCAAGTAGTGCATTTTAGTGTGTCATGTTTGGAAGAATTAATTTTGAAGAATATCGACAATACGACTTCTAGTTAAATTCAAGATAAGATTATCTAAAGACAATTTTCTGTAAAACTATAGCATGGAATAAAAACAATTTATAGTTGTGAAATCGTTTAAACTCAAGTTATTTTAAGAAAGTTGAAGAATCTTAATGATTATATTAAATGTAAAAGTCAAAAGAGACATGAATGTGCAGAACATTAATTATTAATTAGTTTAAGGTGTTTCTATTATATGGTATTGAATCTCCTCCACGTATAGAGTGGATCTCAATGGTAAACCTTTGTGTTTGTACTTTGTATATAGCTTCTATGTTTTTTTTATGTAACTTCCTTTATAAAAACAAAACTTATTTTCATGTCGGTACTCTCAACCAAAATATCAACATGCTTCGGACTAACATTCATGAGAATCTTATTCGTTACAATCCCTTAACCTAACCAGTAGTAGCAAAAAAAAAAAAAAAGGTATTTCCACTTTTAACTTGAATTAAAATATTTCATAAATTAAATTTACTTTAAATTAAGATTGAATACACCATTATTTTTTCACTTTACATACTTTTTCACGATAAATCAATAATTACTGTGATTATCTCGTTTGAAAAGTGGCTAGTAACTTGAGCAATTAAAGAAACAACTAAAATTTATCTGAGTGAAAGAGAGTGATTTTTATGTCACAATTTAGCTTGAATTCACTTGGAGATTTTAAATATACGCATGATGTGATGATTTATATACTATTTTTCATATAACCCACCTAAGTTAACCAATTGATGTGATGATTTATATACTATTTTTCATATAACCCACTTAAGTTAACCAATTGCCATAAAATCACTCATTTAGTTAACTATTTAGCAGTTAAAATATTTAATATTAAAAGCCAAACAAACCTAACTCCTAAAATTTAATTCAAGAAAGAGTATCCAAACTCTATAAAAATTATCCAAGCCACCTAATATTAGATAACATAATATGCTTTAATGCAAGGCTAAATGGGAAGATGAAGGAGAGGATAATTTTTTTTATTTTCAATAAATATATTTAAAATTAATACACAAGAAACGCTGATAAAACACTTTTAACATACTCTTAACTATTGATTATAAATTATTAAAAAAATATAAAAATCATATTAATTTCACTATTACTATTAAATTAATATTTCTCTCTTTTATAATTTTCAATAAATTTTAAGTAATAGCTGTGATAAAAAAAAAGTATTACAGACAGCTAGCATTCTTCAACATCTACAGGTAAAACTAAATATATTCTGATACTATATTAAAATAAACTAAACTCACTCTCAAAAGTCAGTTAAAAAAGAGAATTCTTCAAGTTTTCAAAAAAATATTATAACCATATTCCTGACAAATTGAAACATCTTAACATTTACTTATTATAAGTGTCTATTATTACCACTTTCATCTGTCAATCGTCACTCATTATTTTTTAGAAAAATATCCCTATTATTAATATAGTTAAGAGCAAAGAAATGATATTTTAAATAAAAATCGCTCAAATGGAAGTAACAATAGATGCACGCAAACTTATCATTATAATCAACTTTATCCCTTGGTTTGAAGTAGCACTGTTGTTTGAGGAACGCCAGAAAGAGTGTCGTGCATATAAAGATTACCCAAGGTAAAACCTGCAATTCATAAAACTTTCGGTAAAATTTGCACTATCCATCCGAATGTGTGCAAAACAGCATTACAAGCATTTCATGTTTCCTGTCAATCTGAGCAGAGTAAATGAACACTATGGACTCGATGCTGCTCCTTTTTATATATAGTAAAGGAACAGCATCCTATTTACTGAGTTTCACGCTGCCAACAGGCATAGACAAATTAAAATGATTATAATGGGAAAAAAACATGGCCTAGAAACAATTCTAAACAAGTGTGTCAAAAATCACCAGTCCAAGTAATAAGCTTCAATATCATCCTGGAAAAAAGAGAATGGCAAGGTTAGATGCAACTAAAAAAGTCATTTGACTACAATTATCAATAAAAACAACTTTCAAACAAGATAATCACAGTAATATCAATCAACATAATTTTCATTTTGATCTGTCATTGAAATGTCTTTAGGTCAGATAAAACTATAATGGGAAAATGGAAGGGGGAGAAGAAAAAATGGAAACTGGAAACTAGAAACAAATAACCAGTCCATTAAGGCAATCCTTTTGAACAATTTAAGATCATCATCATCATCATCATGTTCAACAGGGTCATCTCCATTGTTCTCGGAAGTTACAGTTCATAGGTTTGTGTATCACTCTGGATGACTGACCCAGTCATCAACCTTGTGTCACACCACGCTAGGGTTGATGAAAATAGATAACGGCTTATATTATTTCAGAAAAGGTAACACAATAGGGAATTGATGGGTGGGGAAAAGGGCATGTTAAAATAAACTTAGTGAAAGAAAAGGGGGGTTGAAGCAAATAGAAAAACAAAGTAGATCGACATAAAAAGAAGGATATATACCCTATAAGTATCAATCTATGAACACAAAAACTGAGCCTGCACATAGCACCACCAGATCAAATGAATTAAAATGTCACACCCCGTCATGGCATCTTTAATGCTTGCTTCAATTGTGCAAATGCAGATGGATGCATGCTGCTCATTGCAGCATTAAATGATTCTCCATGAATAGCAGCACATGTTTGTAGATTTTCTCTCACACAATCCTCAAGACATAGCTGATTGATACGGTCTGAAAATTTGATCTAGAGACAAAATAAAATTTTTTTAACTTCCATTGTTATATAATTGTATACCATTCCAAAATGGAAAGTTCATTAGGCCTTTGTAGATCTGTTACCTGTCTTTTTCTGAATTCTTTACTAGGAATAGTGCCCTCATCAGGGGATGTACTGGAGCTCATGTCACCACTGTTATTGAAAATAGACATAAAGAAATATGTTAGTAAAACATGTCTAAATGTCAAATAAAACCAAGGATAACCCCCTTTTTAAAGTTTATAAACTCTTAAGTTGCCTTCAGACAAAGGTCATCGGGAATAAGTAGAGTAATAAATATATACAAAACAGTCAAATAAGAGGCCTAGAATGAACCAATTGTCCCAAAAGCTTAAACCATTAGATGAAAATACATGAATTGTATTCTATTATATCTCTAATATCAGTAAACAAAATACAAAAAAAGGCAGATCCTGACCAAGATTCAGCCCAAGTCCTAACTACTCTGAATGAGGTGACCAAAAGAGACTCTATTATAATTTATAAGCACAAAAAGCTAACCTGGACTCTTCCTCAGCTAAGTCATCATTTCTGCCCAAAATTACACTAGTGCAAACACTGCACATCAAACAATACATGGGTCATTTGCTCATTATTTTTGTTATCAATGTATAATAAATAAAGGTAATAGTACCTCAAAATTTGATCGAGTTTGTCAAGTACTTGAGGCAGCCTTAATGTCAGAATTATTGAGAGGGCTAAGCCAATTGTCTTCTTCTGGATGGAAGAAACATTATCCACCTGGGAAAAGTTGTACACAAATTCACAATAAAGGTTATTAAATAGGTCAAAATAATAGGCAAATTTACACATTACAGATATTGATGTTAGCAAATGATGCAAATCCTAAAGCCTATTTCAAAGGATAAAGGATATCATATAGCTTCTTCCAGGCACGGGCAAACGTTTAACCCCCCCCCCCCCCCCCAAGGTCATAGGGTATCAAATGAGGCTGACTGGTGAATTTAAACCAGACCATGATGCTGTTGCACTTCCTTTCCAGAATTAGGTATATTTCACAACTATAAATTAGTTTACAGTTGTAGTGTACTAAATAATGCAACCCATAGGTTTGTCAAAGTACAGACAAGATAAAAATATGCAATATATTTAGAACCAAACACTGTTTCTAAAGCATAACCACAGCAACCTTATCAACCCAAATGTCAACCAGACAAAGAAGTATATTTTCTTGAACTGGGATAGATGCTGTCTGAAGCAGTAGAGAAGTTGATGGATCAGATGCTAGTTGGGCAAGTGAATTTGTATTCATCACCAAAAGCCTAGCCAGGATTGCAGCAGCATATGCTTTAACAGATGCTTTAGAAGGGTCGCGATCATCTCCTCCGCCAAAACATATTACAATTAATTTCTGGAGACAAGGAAAAAAATTCAAGGGCTTTAAAACATATCTCTAGCATGTGAAAAATTAGTTGAAAACAGTTTAATTTACGATTATATCTTGCAAGCATATAACTAAACTTACTTGTAATGTACTGCTAATAAATTGTGGCACCTCTGTGGGGAAACACTGTAAAGAATCAAAATCAAATTAAAAAAATAAAACATCCTACTAATGAAAATTTAGATAGAATTTTGACTGAAAACAAAGCACTTACCTATTGGCTTAAATCAAGAACTAAATCATAATGATGTTAGAAGTTGTTAAGGTGTCCTACATTGGTTAGAAATAAAGCCGGCATACTCCTTTTAAGGGTTAGGGTAGTCTTTCTTCTATGAACTAGCTTTTGGGAGTGAGTTAGACATAAGTTTCTTAAAATGCTATCAAAGCCTATCCAGTTTGAATGTTGAGCTACCCACAAATGTCTTGTTAGATTCCACCCGTGCAAATGTTCAATCTTATAAATTTCAAGCACCAAATGTCCAGTCCTGAGCGTAAGGGAGATGTATTAAGATGTCCCACATTGATTATGAATAGAGTCAGTATACTCCTTATAAAAAGAGAGCGAGTTAGACCTAAGTTTCTTAACAGAAGTTATTAGGGTTATTGGTTCTTTGTATCGTTAATATGCTTGGCTTGTACCAACAGTATTGGTAATTGACCTAGTTAGCAGTATAAGTAAGGATAATAAGCCAAGGTATTTTATTACATTATATTTCATAGAGAGATATAATGTACTTCCTCCGGTCTTATTTATAAGAAACAAAAGATTAAAACACAATGATCAAGAAAAATAATAAATTCAATTACATTTTTTATAAATATAAATTTTATTCCAAAAATACCCACGATATTAAATGATGTAGTTGGTATAGTCTTTTCCTCATAAACATACATTTAACAATAAAAGAAAGGTATAAAAGAAATTCAGCAATTAATACATCTCAAATATATCATGTTTCTTATAATTAGGACCAAGAAAAAACTCACTTTTGTTTTCTATAAAAAGAATCAAATGGAGTAATATTTAAGGGTGTTTTGTGATTGTAAAATACCTATAAGCTGAAAAAAAAAAGTTCACTACGACTAGGTACCCTATAATAGTGAATGCATAGTTGTTAATCTCGGATAGCGGGGTGTGGCAGACAACCCTCAAAACGCTATCGCGAGATAGCACATAACGGGATTGCCGCTATTTTAAAGTTTTTCATATGAATATAAAGTATATACATATGTAGATAATTATGTATATAATAATGCTAAACAAAAATGCATAAATAGCATAACATAACAGAGGTAGGACTGTAGAATCATAGAATAGAGAGAATAAAGGAAGTGACTTTTGTTAAAGAAGTCATCCTAATGAGTGACTCTGCTGGATTGGAGATTGTTGCAAAGCAGCAACGAGATATAGATGGGAGGAGGGAGTGTCGACCAGAGAAGGGGGAGAAGAAAAACAGTGGAGGGAAAGCGGGGTTTCGTCATGTGTCTCTAGTTGCAAGGCAGAAGAGCATTTGAGATGAGAGGAAAGGGTGTCGAAGAGATAAGGAAAGAAAAAAACTCAGGGAAAAGTGGGGTTAGGTCTGAAAAATGAGAAGACTATTTTGCCCTTAAAAAACCTAAAAATTGTGTCATTATAAGGGCAAAAAGGGAAATCAGCTTATGACTTAAATATGAAAAGACATTTTTACCCTTAAAAAAGCCTAAACTTCTTTCACTTTGAGGGTAGAAAGGGAAAGTTAATATCTTTCCCTGTGATGGCACTTGTTGCGCCGCGAAAGGCCGTGATTTGGCCTGCAAATACAGCTGCCATTAGTCACAAAACACACCGCTATCGATACGCAACACCGCAATCTCACGCATTTGACAACTATGAGTGAATGTTAAACTTTAAAGGAAAAAAAAAAAGTAAGAGTTGAAAAAATGAGAATGCTAAGATAAATGTTTGGTTACATAAGAAAGGAGAGGATGAGAAATAATTGCATACGGAAGAATAATAGAGAAACAACTGTCAGAGAAAAGATGACAAATAATTGATTAAGATAATTTAGACTTGTGCAAAAAAGGCCATTGTCAGCATTAGTGAGAAAAATCGATGACATAAATTTGAATCCCATGAAAAGAGGTAGGGAGGGAGATACTAGAAGAATTTCAGAAAAAAATATTAAAAGAGATTTAGCAATAAATAATATCTTAGAGAGTATGACTTTGACCGACTGAATATTGTTGTGTGATTCATGTGGCTAATCTCATTTAGTGAAATAAAGCTTGTTGTATACCCTTATAAAGAGTAATACTGCAATATACTCTTTTTAATACAATCCTAATTATTATCCAAAATCAAAAAAGTTAGGTAGGTCTTACTCTTAATTTAATGATTCTTTCTCATACTTCTATAGTTTACAATAAATTTTAGCCAATAACTAAATGTTAAAAACACTGTATTAAAGAACATGTTCTTAGCACTCCACTCTTATAAATAATATACACAATGCTACTACTGTTTATCATTTTTATCTCTTCCTTTTTCACCCTAACCTATAAGGCTATAACTCTAAACAGGATGCATTATATTCCAATAGCCCAGTAGTTCATACCATCAATTACTGTTAAGTTTGGAATGCCAATTTACAAGTAGGGAATAACATACCTGTATTAAGATATCAACTACAGGAAGAACTGAAAGTAGACCTTTGTCATTGACATTTCCCACAACTAAATCAAGAATTTTAGCAATATTTGTTGCATGCACGCTCAAAAAGTCATTTCCACCCAAAATTATGTAATCTTCAATTATGTTCACCGCAACCTGTACTTCAGATAAAGAGAATCAACATAAATAAATAACAAAGATATTAAAATAAGGTCAAATGTCAACAAAAACTAGCTGTAGGGGTGGGCACTAACTAAACCAGCAAGAATATGTAACAGTAATGGTTATAAGCCTGACAAAGTTATTAAGCCACCAAGTACAGCACGAAGCAGAGGGATGCCATAGGCTAAATTTTTTATACCTCCATCTAATCAAGAACTGAATGATTACATATTTTTCACAATGTGCTGCACATGATAGGAGTTGAGAAGTCTGGAAACCATCTGAAAGAAAATTACATTGATTTGACTGCCATATATATTACTAAGTCCCCTGTTAGTGTCTTTAACCTAACAGAATTAGTTCCAACGTAAGAGACTTAACTATGCTATCTAACCAATTCTTATAAACGAACCAATGATCTTAAAATTTTAGAAATGGTGGCAGGTAAGGGATGATGGGAATTTGAATATAAAGAATTTATTATCATTAATTCAAATATTATGCACATCATGTAAACACAAGTACATGTAATGGTTGCAATCCAACAATCATGCACACTAAACTTCTACAAGACTACTTGATCCTAGTGTCACAGACACTATCTTTCTCTTAAATACATAGAGCACAAGTTAATGGAAAAATTACTAGAGTATGGAGCAAAGTCTAACCTGTAAATGGTCAAAGTTTCTTTCCATAATCTCCACAAGACGTGGAAAATATTGCAACAATTGAGGCACCATTGATGGTGCTTGGGAAAGTGTGGCCTCCCATAACTGAAAGGTTATGCAATTGAAATTTCATGACATATTCTCCCACAATAAAGTACCATCTAATTAGTAAAAGCAAGACAGAAGGATTACCAGCATGCTATCTTCCAGAAGATTGATTTCATCTGGACTATTAATATCAATCCCATTCTCCAGAATTGGTAGCAGTATATTGTAGCAAATGGGTGACTGGTAACCAAGTGCAACCACAAAATTTCTCATAGCAACAAGAAGCTGAATCCGCAGCAGACTTTCACCAGAAGATTCCTCCCAGACCTTGCCATAACAAAAGCAATAGAGAGAGGACAGACAAATTCAATTTTGCTTAATTTGGGATTAACTATATAACTACTCTGCGATGCTATCATTATCACTTACAGGGTAAAAACTAAACAAGAATGTGACAGACACAGTATATTTATATTTACTCTGCCATCTAAAACCAATTATTCTAACTCCTTTGGCAAGTGATGCAGGTAACCTAGAATCAGTTGAATCATAAAAGTTAAATAAAAATCATCATACTGCTTAGAGAGCTTTCTTGCTTGAGTTCCTGCAGCAATATAAATTATGATTTGGTCCCATTCATCAAGTTGCTGAGGAGACAATCCATTTGCAACCAGAATTGCTTTGAATTGCTGTTAGTGGATTAGATTTTAGGTAAAATATCATCTGATCCAAACATAAAAATAAATTGCTATTCAGTTTGAATTGGTTGCAGAGAGAGAGAGAAGAAAAGAAACTCTGTTAGGAGTTTTTAAGTATATTCTTGAGAGATTGTTTAGATCAGTTATAGAGATATAAATAGTTGGAGTTGAGTGCTTAAGAGATTCTGTAACTAACTAATAAAAACAGAAAAACCAATACAAAACTAATACCAATAAAATACAAAACTAACTAAACTAATACAACCAAGTTGTATACTCTAATATCCATTATTAAAAAATTTATAGAAATAATTCTCCTATCCTTTGACGCCTTGATTTGAAACTAAAATTTCTCTTTCTTCATCCTTAATACATCTAACTTGATCCAAATTTTTAAATTTTCTTTCTCTACTTTTTGCAAGCTTATAAATCTCTTTTTCACCATACTTTATTCCAAAATCTTTATAGAAACTTTCATAAGCCTTAGAATGTGCTTTATTCATTGCTTTTCTTGTCTCATTTCTTGCATTTCAATACTTTGTCCAATTTTCAGTATTATTGCATGTATGCAAAATTTAAAAAAACATCATTTTCTCTCTAATCTTCTTTTACACATTTTCATTTCACCGCCATGATTCCTTATCTATTGATCCAAAACCTCTAAATTCACCTAAAGTTCTCTTGACAACTTTCCTAACCTTCATAGTCATTTTGCCCCAAATATTGTTAGCACTACCTTGTGCAACTCAGTTACTCTCTTCTACTAACTGCTTCTGAAAGTTTAACTATTTCTTACCTTTAAGTAACCATCACTTAATTTTTAGAACAATAAATTGTCGACTTCTATGTTTATCAGTCTTAAAATGAACATTAAGGACCAAGAACTTATGTTGTATATTAAAGTTCTCTCTTGGAATCACTTTACAATCCTTATAAATTTCTTTGTTTAGATTCTTCACCAAAAAAAAATAAAAATTTGCAACCTTGAAACTATGCTCTTAAATGTGATAAGATGTTTCACCCTCTTCTTAAGATAGTCTTAAAATCGTAGGATATTGAGAAATCAAGAATAGATTGTCTTTTATTTAACTCTCTAAAACTAAAACCATCATGAACCTTTGTTAATTATCTTGCCTAATAACCAACATGTTTATTAAAGTCTCCATCTATGAAAGACTTCTTGATTTGTAGAATGTCTTAGATCAACCTCTATAAATCCTCTCAAAACTTTGCTTTCAAAAAAGCTTCCGAGCCAACTTGTGGAGCATAAACATTAGTGATATTAATAGTATATTGTGCAAATAATAACTTCAAGGACATGATCTCATCTCTAATCTTTCTAATTTCTACTACATTGGTTTTCTAAGTATTATCCCCAATTATGCCTACTTTGTTCTTTCCCTTAACTTTTCCTGTGTACCAAAGTTTAAAACTTGTAATATCAAGCTCCTTAACCTTCTTTCCAGCCCATTTTGTTTCTTGAAGGCACATGATGGTAATCTTTCTACAATCTATGTCCACCACTTCCAATGACTTTCTAGTCTAAGTACCAATATTTCATAAATCAAACCACAACACGTGTTCATGGACTAACTTCTTACCCACATTCATCCACCCAAACAGAGCATTAAACTGACTTGGTGTATTTAGTCATGCCATACCTATTTTCTAGTAAAGAAACTGATTCACAATTTACTGAAAATGAAAAACAAAATGCACCTTTCTTATCCTGTGAACCTAACCAAGTATTAATTAAAACAAAGCTCAGTAGACAATTGAAAAAAGACAGGATTATTCTTATGTTACCTTCTGAAAAAATTGCACCAGCTTGTTAGCAAATGGAATAACTTCACTAACATGTCCGATAAGGGTAGAGATTAGATTCAAAACCTGAACCTGAAGAAATATTTAAAGAACAATATGAGCTACAATTCATTAAGAGAATCAAACATGAAAGAAAATTCAGTTTCAGATTGTGTAATTTACACAATATAAGTTTGATCTTGCCATTAATCCTAGATAAGTATTACAAAAAGAAAAAAAAAGAAATACAAGAATCCCCAAAAGAATAGTTCCCAGCTGGATGCAATGTTATCAATGGCAAATTGCGAGTCATGGCAGAAAGCTAAAAAGCTGCCATAAAATTATGGCAGATGCCATGGCAGCTTATGGCGGAAACATCATGGCCAAAATAAAATAATGTAATATATATACAAACATATATATAAAAGAACAAAAAAAACACTGCAGAATGTGATATAAAACCAAAAAACTAACTACATATGTCAAAATCAAGAATATAATTGATAGAAAATCATCAAATAATATCACATGCCTCATAACTAGATCTCATACTAATATAATAGCCTAACTGCCCTTGAAGAATTTGATTTAGCTTGTTGTTAGGCTATGTTAAGGAAAACTGCTGCTAAAACCAAGGCAGCAGTGTTAGAATAAAAAATGGACAAAAAACAGAGAAGGGAAACTCAAAAAAGAAAATGAGAAGAAAATCTGGAAAGAGAAGTTGACACAAAAAAATGGAGAGAAGGGACAAGAAACGTGGGCAAGGAAAAAGAAAAATAGAATGAACGAGAATAAAACAAAAACAGCAACAAAAAAACCTGCTCACAGGAAAATGAGGTTGCTCAAGCTCGTGGTTGCTGGAACTTTGGAAGCAAGGAAGGTGAGAGAGAAAGCTGTAATTGAGACTTATAATAGAGGTTAACAAGGTTGAAAGACTAAAGTTTAGGGTTTTTTATGTTGGGATAGTGAGGAACTAGGTCAAATCAGCAAACCTCAGTTTTTTTTTTTTTGGGGGGCAGATTCCCAAAATTTCCGCCATGACCGCCATGCAATAACAGCTACCTGCTATGACCCACCATTGTAAACCTGCCATGACTTGACATATGTATGGCAGATTGTTAAGAAGCCACCACCGTTTTCAATCATGCTGCCATTTGATACATTGGCTGGATGCAGATACTTTTGTGTACCATCACATAAAATGTAATGAACAATTGTAGTAAAAGGTGCACTCAGGTGATGCCTCTTCAGTGATGCACACATTACAAGTGTCTTGAACAAGATGCTAGCCTTTAGCAACAATCTGATAATAACTGATAATATATGCCCCAAGAAACTGGGCATTTACCTTGCTAATTAATATGCTGAAAGGGATCAAATAGTCAGTAATGACATCCATTTCAGATACATGGATCAAACAATGTCATTGGGATCAACCAACAACAAAGTTTCCAGTAAAACCATTTTAAGCAAGGTCTAGTTTGTTATACCCAGTACAAACAGGAAACAGGCTTAAGAGAAATGGACACAGAACTTGACGTGGTTTAACCTACAATGAACTGTGACCTAATATCTAAATCCGTCCAAGGGCAAAACAAAGAGAGTTCACTATGATCAATGCAAATTTTCAAGTAATAGACTACTAGCCACTTAGCACACAAACTGTAATTAATCCCAATAGACCTAATCCCTCACTAATGTTGAGGTTTTACAACCTTAGTACAAGATTTCGTGCCCTACACAACACAACCCTCTGCTTCCACCACAAATGTCCTTGACTCCCTGCAAATTGCATGCAAGATCACAATTCAGGCTTTTTAGGTGAATCACGTTACAGGCTAGGTCCATCATTAAATACAAGCCATTTTATAGCAATTATTCCCCTTGTTTGTACTATCCTCATCATCAACAATTACTGAAGTCAGCACTCCCCAATTTGGAGGGAAACAAATATGAGTTTGAAGGTTAAAGGTTTCCTCCCACATTTTATCCCCTCCTCGAATTTTAAACTCCAAACCAAGGAGAATTATTCCCTTCAGTACCTTGCATTACACCTTTCCAAACTGTGTCTAAAAGAATTTATTTTTTCATAGTAAAGGAAAACATTCCCTGGCAGTTGATTTTACCTTTGAGTCAAATTCCTGAACTTCCTCAAACAACTTAAAACATGAGTCCCAACAGATAGGAAGAAGATCAACAAACTCCCTCTCTGAAAAGTTTGCATCTTCAACATGTAAACATAGGGATCGACAGGCTGCCAGCTAAAAAAATTATGCTCATGGTTAGTTCAAAATGATGATAATGAGGAACAGATATGTTGAATTGACAGAGAAATATATGCAATCTAATAGGACTACATGGCTATGTAACATACCCGGACAGATAAATCTTTGCCCTGTAACAATCTGATTAAAGCACAGTATACAGGCCTTTTTGTATCATCTTTCACCTGTGAAGAGTAGAAAAGACTTAACATGGTGAATAGAAATGACTTTTCTTAATTGAAGGGTTTAAGACAGATTAAGAGAATAACTAGTTATTTTACTGGCATATACCTTTATTACACCTCCATAGAAATTATTTAATCTGTATAGGTTTTGAATTTCAAAATACTTAGGACATGAAAGAAAGCATTTCATCAAATCTTTAGTAAAATTATTGAACTACGAAAATTTAAGCTTATTCACATAGCAACTCAATAATTATATACCTCAGAAACCCACTGCCCTAAAATTACAGCAACTTTACGATGAATGATGCCTAAATTTGGATTTTCATTTGAGAGTTCAAGTGATAGAGCACCATTAAACCTGCAACCAATGTTAAGAAGGAATGAGTAGTCAAAGTACTTTATCCTCAGGTAACAGCTTAACAAAATAAAGGTCTAATATCAATACTACTTTATCAACTATAAAGTTAAACTGGGTCAATGAAGAGACATTAATATGAACCATCAAATTAGTTAACTCTAATTATTTGTTGCATCGTCAAGGGTGTATATCCTCACCTTTGATTTTGTTATTGGATAGAAATGTTTTTGTGGTTTTCAGACCATGGACATTTAGCAGTAATTATTTCAGACATGCAAAGAGACTAGACAGCCAAGTTTATAGGAGTTCCATTTTCTGTATCTTTTTCCCCTCCCTTTTTGTTTTTGTTGAGAATTTATTATCCCCCAATTTAATGATTATTTTATTATCTACAATTTTACAATTACCAGAAATTGGATAATAGTGAACAAACATGCACATTAAAAAAGGGATCTTAAGAAACTTTCTTTATTTGCTTATATGAATAGCAGGTGCACGAAAACATCCCCAAGGAGTAGTAATTTGTATTAGCAAAGGCAGCATAATTGAGAAACAACTGATACAAAAACTATGCCACAAAACTATAATGATTTTTGTTGAGAATTTATTATCCCCCCAATTTAATGATTATGTTATTACCTACAATTTTACAATTACCAAAAATTGGATAATAATAAACATACATGCACATTTAAAAAGGGATCTTAAGAAACTTTCTTTATTTGCTTATATGAATAGCAGGTGCACAAAAACATCCCCAAGGAGTAGCAATTTGTATTAGCAAAGGCAGCATAATTGAGAAACAACTGAAACAAAAAAATATGCAACAAAAATATAATGATCTTCAATCTTTTAGGAATAATAAGATCCAAATATGGAGAAGTAATGTAAGAATAGCGTAGTAGCTTTGAACTCACCAGTCTTTAAAGCTCAGGTAGTTTGAGAGCTCATAATAAACATAAGCTGCAGCACCATATGTAGCATCTTTAAGAAGCAATGCAGGAGCAATTTCTGTTACTGAAGTTGGACAATTATTCATACTCTCATGAAGAAGAGAAACCACAACAGGACCTAACAACTAAAAATAACACATCCATATTAATCTATAGTCAACATAGTCAATGATTGAAATATCTAAACAAGAGAAAATACAAGATAACCTGATGCTTAAACGTCACCTACTTGGCTATTAGTTTCAAACAACACGATGTACAAAGCTTCAGCACATGGTCTCAATTTTTCTGTCCACTGAACCATATCCTGCTCATGGTGAAAAGACTCCGGGTTGCGGTACCACTCCTCCAAATCACTTGCTGTCAGAACAAAATACCTGTTGGATAATAAAGACTGTTTATTTAGGATGGCAAGTCTCAACGCAAATAACAATCATCTAGCTGAATCACAGAAGCTCATCGATGTTCAAAATATAAGAAAAAAGAAAGTTTAATTTGATCTTTTATAATCAGCGAATTTCAAAACTTACATTAACACTTTAAGATATCTGCTCGCAGCTCAGTCAATTATGTGCATATACAGGCCATGAGCATATACTCAAATGAGAGAAAAATTCATGAACTTCACTTGCTATAACAGATTCTCCATAACCTGGAGTTGAAAGCAACGACTTTGGTTTTGCAATGCAGATTGCCCCTATTTTGCATCAATATCATAACATTCTTGGCAGCAATAGACTAGACAAACACTTTCAGCTCAAGAGACTCCCAAGTATGCTATTTCCTATGGTGTTCAAAGTATATTTGATAGGGTAAATTACTGTTTACCCCCCTCAAATTTTACACTTTTTCAACTCACTCCCAATTTACTTTGGACCAAAGTAAAACTATTAACTTTTCTGTCAAAGTTCACATTGATTACTCTTTTATGTCACTTAACCCATTTTTACTTTAGATCAGAGTAAAATTGTTAATTTTTTGTGAACTCAACCTCCCTCCACTTTAGACCAAAGTGAAACAAATAAGTTTCATTAATGCTGATGTTAGTTGTGTGAAAGCCTATTTTTTGATGCGAAAAATTATCTTAAATTAAGCGAGACCAATTTTTCTCAGGTATCTAAATGATATGATTATCCATTTTTTGTGGGAAAAAATGGATGATTCTATAACTTTGGTGGGATCAAAGGTGAGATCTAGAAGCGTAAAAATGTTTATTCCCCTACAGTTATATTTACCCATCCAGCTTAAGAGATTAATTAACAACCAACTTATATATGATGCAAAAATTAATGCCAGCAAGTTTAAGGAATCAACTTAGACGAATATCAAGGACAATAGCTCACATTTGCCACACAAAAGACATGTTGCATACTTCAATAGCTCACATTTGCCAAACAAAAGACATGTTGCATACTTCAATAGGTGCTGACATCTTCTGTTATTATTAGTTAGGGTCAAGATGTCCTACATTGGCTTATAAGGTTTAAGCAAACCTCCTCCTATGAGCTAGCTTTTGAAAGTGAACGAAGCTTAATTTGTTAATATTGTATTAAAGCCTATCCAATTTGAATGTTAAGCTACCCACAAATGTCCAATCCTGGATGTGAAGAGTATGTCAAGATGTCCCACATAAGCTAAGAATAAAGTCAGGATACTTCTTATATGGTTTGAACAAACCTCTTCCTATAAGCTATTGAGAGTGAGTTAGGCATAGTTTTCTAATAGTTAACAAAACATCACAAACAACCTTTCATAGGACCACGCCTGCCACTCCAAATGTTGTGAGGACCATTCTAATTATGAGTGCTTCTAAACCAAGACAAACTCCCTTCCGCAAACTAGAGTCAACATGTCTCGTGAATGAGTGAAATATCGAATTCTGTTTTTTTTTTCTTTAATTCATAAAAACAATGTTCACCTAATTTTCATCATAAAAATAATACTCATCATATCTGCCCATCTTCCTTGAGGGGTTGTTCAACAATTAACTTATATTTATTGAAAAAACACATGGTAGTAGGTTTAAGGAAACAATATATGTCACACTATTAATATGTTTTACATTGACTAGAATTATGACTAAAATATTATTTGATAAACTTTTAGAAGCAAGTTAAGTCTGATTCATTTCTAACATGGTATGAGCCTATCCTATCTTAATGTTGGATCACTCACACATATCCAATTTTGTAATGTTTACACGGCAAATGTTGAGTTCTAAGCATGAAGGTGTGTTAAGATGACTCATATTAGTTAGGAATATGGCCAGAATATTTTGTATAAGACTTGAGTAATTCAGAAATTTAAGCTAACTTTTAGGAGTGAGTAAAACCTGATCTATGTCTAATACACACTGTAGACAAGTCAATACAACATCATAGAGTATGATGGACAGTTGTTAACATCTACCACATGGATACATTGCATCTTCCAATAGATAGTAGATGCTAATGTCTTCCGTTACTATTAGTCAGTAGTCTCACAAACAACCATGAGGATCATTTACTATTTGTCAGTGAAGTGTCACAAGCAACCTTTTATAGAAGAGTATGAATGCATTGTGGCCCATTCTAATTATGTATGCTTCTGCCAACCAAGACAAACGACCTTCTACAAATTAGAGTTTCCATGTCTCCTTTAAACAAGAGAAATGTTAATCTCCAGATGATTTTTTTTTTCACAAAAGTGTTGTTCACCCAATTTTCATCGTAAAAGCATTCTTAAGTGATACAAAATATAAAGTATTTTCTGCATGCCTCCTTGCGCAGGATTCAACACTATTTCTGCTAGAAATAAGAATTTCATGTAACTAACATTAACATTTACATTACTCCACAGTAGAGGAGGGTTAAGTGACACAAGAATGTTTCCAGAGTTAACTTTGCTAGAAAAGTTCATAATTTCAATTTAATCCAAAGTAAAGTTATGTGACACAAAATAGTTGCAGGGAGTAGGTTGAAAAAGTGCAAACTAGAGGGAGTTTAACTGTATCTTGCCCTACTTAATAAGATTATTTATGGTCCAATACTACAGGAGATTACTTTTTGAACTACATTTTTTCATCATTTGCACTTGCCCCTTTTAACGTCACTTTCAGAATTTAATTTTGAAAGGGTATTTAATACGTTCCAAAAACTAATTCCTAAAGTTATTTACAAATTACCTCTAGAACTTAATTTTCGGAACTGATTTTATACCTTCCAAAAACTAAATTCCAAAAGTCTTAAAACACACTTCCAAAACATGAATTCTGAAAGTCACAATAAAAAGGTTCATGCAAATAGAAAAAAAATGTAATGTAAATAGAATCCCCTAGACTAAATTGTCCAGGTATTGATTATTCTGATTCCATCTATTTGGTCTCCCTATCCATGTCAATTTAACCTAGTTATTCTAAAACAATTTTGACCCTCCTTGATAACTGTAGAAATAGAGATGATTTAAAACATACACACAAATCACCCAATCCAGGAGAAAGGAACCTCTGAAAAACAACTACTAAACGAGGGATCTCTTTCACTGATTGGAAGATAAACCGAAGAAGCTCAGGACAACTCTTTTTTTTTTTTTTTAAATGACTATTAGAATAAAACTTTCATTTAAAAACGTAACATTACTTTAGTCCTAACTCAGCTGAAAAAAAGACAAATACAAGTAAATAAACAAGCCAAGAAGGGGTTGCAAAGTGAGTACCTTGTAATCAATACATTACACAAGTGGACAATCCTTTCATTGGGAAGAAGGGAAGTTAAAACACCACCAACTGCATTGGAAATGTTTTTCTTCATCAGCTCTAGCGTAACTCCATTTTCATCCATCACCCGACCAGTAAGACTTGGCTTGTATTCCTTACATTCCAGAATATTCTTAATCATTACCATACATTGAATGAGAAATTGCTCAAATGACAACAAATTTGGCTCAGGATCTGTTATCCTATTCAAACAGAAGTCCATGACTGATGAAAGCACAAATTTATCACCAAATGAGTAAGGATGTCGTCCATGAAAGGCAACTAAAATTTTCATCAATTTGGTACATGCCCTCTTTACAATGTCGCAAAATTTAGGATATTGCTTCTGAAAAGATGAATCTGCAAACAACCAAGATAATCTTGTAAGACTACAAGGAAGAAATAAGTAAACATTTTATGCACAAGAAAAGGCACATAAAGTAGACAAATATTTACTTTTTCATGCACTAAACATGAGAACTAGATATTTTAGATTGTTGTGTGACGAGGGAAGGAAATATTAACACGTGTAAATGTTGAAATTTCTAGCAAGGCATCAAACTATATAGCATATAGCTACTGTTTATTACTTGCAAAACTAGGGGAAAACAAAATCTAATGTACTCAAATCCTAAGCACAGAAAGCTAAAGATAAAACACAATAAACATGATGATATATGTCAAAAATACAAAGTTTACAAAGCCATAGTCAAAGATTGAAGAAAACGTAGTATATTGTATATTACTCATTGTGCTTTACAAAAACATCATTTTAAGGATCATTCACTCCTTATTTAATCTTTTCCTGTAAATCCACCATCTGCCTCTGTATTCTTATTTTTGCCATATTAATTTATTCTCCATTGTTGCTTCACAATGTAACATCCTACCATGGAGCAGCACTGGTTTTGAAGCTGTTGGGGAGAATTTTCCTTTGAATTTGACAGGCACTTCACAATCGCAAATTATGCCAAACATTTTTCTTCATTTCATCAAGCCCACTTGACTACTACATGTAACATCCCTATTATGGTAGTTAAAATGGGGAGTTGAATCGTAAAATTGCACATTAAGATTTTGGAAGGCAGAACAACTCAGATCACAGCAAAAATCGTTCCCAGGTGAAATCAGGATTTAAATCATAAAATCAGGATTTCACACCGATCTCATGAAATTCTGGATTTGGATCTGGATCTCAGCCTAATTTGTTCATAACCCAATGGATATGGCCCAATTTTGAATGACCCAACTTATATTTTTGATAAAACCTTAGTCCGGACCTCCTAAACTTAGTTGCTCCTCCTTCTTTCCTTTCTTCCTCGAAGCCTATACAACATTGGTGACCGACAATGTGCAACCTGGTTTGCAGCCAACCATGACTCTATCATCACAATCATCTGCTCCAATCTTGCTCTGTTCTGCTTTTTGATTTTCTTCTCATCTTGCTCTGTTTTTCTTGTTCAAGTCTGAAAATGGGTTCAAACACAGGTGCCAGTCAAAGCTCAGGTGGTGGCAGTTCTGGGTATGTCCCAACTGCTACTGACAGCTCCACTACTGCTGGCTCTTCAAGTTTATTTAAGTGCTTTTAGTGATTTAATGTTTTCTTTTTTCAATTTATGCTAATTTATATGCATAATATGAATTTATATGCATGTATATATGATTTTTGTAAAATCTTATGATTTGATTTACGATTTTCCATTTTTACTCCCCTATACAATTTTAAGTAAAATCCTGATTTTAACTACCTTGATCCCTACTAATCTCCTCATCACTTGATAGAATAGGTTTAAGATACTTAATCACCCAGTTTGCAGAATGATGTGTTAACCAATTTTTTACCCTTAAAACAATGCTAACCTGTCTCCTACTGAACTTGCATTCTATATACTCCATCAAAAAAACTTCTTGAAAATTCCAAAGCTTCTCTCCAAAACTCAAGTTTGGAGTTTTCTCCTCTTGACCACTAACTAGGATTATATCATCCAGCATCTGGCAAAATTATGCATTGCAGAATTAACTCGTGTGTGCGACATTCAATCCTAAGTGTAGACTCCATCAGTCTGTTGTACAAATCTTCCATTACTCCTCCATGAGTTTGTGTACCAATTACATGAAAATTAATCCATGCCACATTTGGATCATCAGAATCCCAGTTAAAAATATAGAGGAACAAGTCTAAATTACACATTATTATTCTACAAAACTTGACATATTAAATATTATATTTTATGTAACACACCATGGAGGAATGACTTTGATAAGAACTGTGGGAGAACCACATCACAAAAGCTAGCTATTGTAGTCTGAGAGCCTAAGGCCATATAAATTCCACACTAGAATCCCATACTTCCAATGTGGGACTCAAGTCCCATACAATGCAATAGGATTCTAAAGGACTCTTGTTAGGAACTATTGGATTCTAAATGTTTTCATCAACTTCAATTACTTAGTTTTTTGCACCAAATTGACACAGGGATAAACACACATGCACTAGAAATAGAAGTCTCACAGTATGGAAGGAATGATTGAATGGCACTTAAGAGCCCAGGTGAGACTTCCTTGACTGGCCGAACCTCCTACAAAACAGTAATAAAATGCCTGGTAACTTAACATTGGAATTGATTAGTTTGAAGAGTATAAAAAGGGTACTATAGTCTCCATGACACCGAAATCATCATGGAGAACAGAAACAAGATGGATAGATAATTACCTGAAAACACTTTGAATCGCTTTGAAATCCAGAAATAACTAATTGCCGTACAATCTTTGAACATAACAACCATCTCTCACATGTAAGATAAAGTTCATGATGCTGATCTTCAGCATTTAAATTATAGCTTTGAGAAAGAGCTGAGAAACCATGCAGTATTGTCTGCACATCACTTTGCCAAAGGCGCCAGCTATAATCAAAGAAATGGGATGATATCTGCCAAATGAAATGGTTGAATATATTTTCTATTATTTAAGCTATGCACAGGAATCTTCTTTTATTCTAGAAAAATCATATCAATCAGATGCAATAAATCGGAGGGGGGCGGATTAAAAAAAATGGAATATGATATAAACCCCAACAGAACCTAGATGATAGACCATATGCACTTCACAAGGCTACATAAGAGCAACCATTTGTATTTGGAAAAAAAAAAAAAAATATATATATATATATATATAGTACCAAGTACCAAACATAAAAAGATAAATATGAAGGACTTAAATGCATACCACCCTGGCTCTATCATTCTGAAATAACAATTATCCTTGGTTATGTTAGTACCACTATCACCATTACCACCATTGATTACTGCTACCCCCCCCCCCTTGTGTGACCATTGTTTCATTTGTGTATAAATTTATTACTCAAACCTAACACAATTTTACTCAGGACTACCCTTAATTTAAGGTATTAAAATAGAATTGAAATTCAACTTAGAATTATAATTCTAGATTCTAATTCTCGGGACAACCCAAATATAAGAATTACGATTCGGAACTAATTCCAATTTTGGAATCACAATTTTGAACTACAATTCTAATTTCATATGTCAAACAAACCCTAATAATTTCTTCTTTGAATAATTAGGAGAATTATTAGAAAGATTCATCAGGAGGATTTATAATTAGTATTAAAAAAGCTCATCCAAACATAATAAATGTCCTCTTTGGGTAAACTTCAAGAAAAACCCTTATAGAAGAAAAAATCTGTATAAAAAATGAACAAAATTTCTTCTATAAGTTAGAAATAATTTATACTTCTCTATTTTTTGAGAAGTTCTGGAAAGCTCTCTCTCATTCAGCTTTTCTAAAATTTTTAACAAGATAAGTTGTTTTTAACTTATGGAATAAGTTTTATTTGTTATTTATACTAATTTTTTTCTTTTAGAAGAACTACTCTAGAAGTTCACCCAAAGGAGACCAAAGTATAATGAGAGTACTTTATATAGACTTAAATAAGTAACTAATCCCTGAAAATATCATGATTTTTGTTTTAATTCCTATAAAAATTTTATTTGATTTTAGTTAAAATGGAATAAAAATTTTATAGGGACTAATACCAAAATCATGATATTTTTAGGGAAGAATAACCTTATTTAACCCTAAAATATATTATGAAAAAAAAAAAACCAATCCAAACACGTGAAGAGTCTAGGTGTTTCATGTATTTGAGGGCATGTGCTAGGGCATTTCAGCTCAGGCTTGTGGGAATTGCCCAAGTTGGAGGGGCACAACGTGTAGAGGAGAGGAGCTTTCAGTTTGAGAAAGTCAAAGCGATGGCAGGACAGCAATAGATGGTAGCTCAAAAGGCAAGGAAGGCTGCTGGAAGAATGAATCAGCAGTGGAGACAAAAACTGGAAAGAGAATAGGACTGCCTCTCGTCAAACTCCAGATACCATGTTAAAGGAAAGAGAAAACATGAAACATATGACAGAATCCACGCGTCTAAATTACATGGTTATGAAACAGTGTAATATTTACAAGAATCAATACCCCAATTACTGAGATGACAACATCTAGTTCTCCTATTAACATATATTTCAACAAGAACATTTACAGGATAAAACAAGCTAAGCTTCAATAAACAAAAGACAATCAAGAAAGTATGAGCAGTAACAAACTTAAGTTGCCAAAGGCGTTAAATGTTTTTATCTAGCTAATAACTTATCCTGCAGAAGGGATTATATTAGTTATTAAAATTCTTCTCAGTCCACCACAATCAATTAAAAAACACCAATTTAGTGGTTGAAATTCAAGAATGATCCACAAAGGCAATGAGTCACACTGTGAGTTGAGTGATATGCATCCCTCCAGAACAAAAAAACAGTTTAAGCTACCCTTATAGGCCTTAACTACTAGATAGTTAGGACACAACCTTTTAACGGAGAGTGGCGATAGTGCCTCCTCAAAAGTTTATTGTATTGAGCCATAGAGCCTTCAAATACCTATATTTAAGTTTCCAACAACTCACCAATAGAACATCCTCGCTATCCTTGTAAGAACAATATATAAGTTAAAACATAATATTAAAACTGTAAACAATGCATTTTTGTGTGACTCTGGATATATATCTTTAGCTAAGATTTCTTCATTACGCTGACAGCAAGTCTGTTTAAACAAGTCCTCTTTTGCTAGAAGTTTTTTTCTAAAACCAAGAAAGACAAGATTACTATTGGGGCATGCATGTTATTCAGATAATGACAGTAGATATTTTTTAAGTTTTCAGCATACAGCATAAAGGCAAAGATTTAAACAAATTAAAGCAAGAGAAAAAAAAAAAACAAGAACAGTAGAAACTGCACCTCTGCATAGTTGCGTTGGTCCAATGTAAGGCGTTTTGTGGACAACTCCTTTAAGGTCCTAAATAGAATCAAAAAGATTCGGTGGGAGGCAAGAACATCTGCTGATTGAAGTTGTTGTGACAAAACCAAAAAGATGTCTGACCTGAGAAGTCATTAAATTGGCATATCAACATATAGGACTTGCTTCATGAAGAATGTTAAAATCAAAAAGAAAAAGAATGCATAGAACCCAAAGATGAAGATAGCTTATAACATCTATGCAGCAAAAAAACATGCATGTTGACAATGCATCACAAAGAAAAACCAAAAATTGAAGAAAAAAATTGTGCAAATATTAAGAATGTATAAAACAAGAATTTAGACAAAACATTTTGAAGATATGACTTGAGTATGAGATTAAAACCATATATTCCCATTGAATTAGAGTTCACTAAGATAAATAGTGAACCAAAAAGTTCAGAGAAAGAAAGAGGAGGGAGGGGTGAAATTTCAACTGCAGTATTGTAGAATGGACACAGTAAATATTCTTGGAAAGCAAAGAAATAAATATCAAAAAGTACCATTCTTTGGGATAATCAATGCGAGCAATTTTGGAGATAAGCACTGCCAACATCAGAGCTATCTACATTTAAAAAATGACAGGAATTATAATAAGTAAATATTTACAGCTTATTAAAATTCACAAGCATAGCCAATAAAAATAAAATAAAATGCTAAAAGCCTTCAATATGCAAGCAGGGATGAAGAACAACTATCATTTACCATGAAGTCTAACCAAAACCGTGACAAACTAACTAAAATCATAAATTGACAAGGCTCATTACAATGAAAAGAGAACAACTTGGATGAAATCTATGCAAATTGAACAGAATGGGTTATGAATCAATCAACTCATGACTGAATGAGAACAATTCTAGGATCGAAGTAACTAATTAGCTTGGCATTGAAGTTGTAGTAACAAGATAGGACTCTAAACAGAATCACAAACAAGACCTCCAAGCATAAAATCACTAACGAGCACTATCAGATGCATACAATACATTTACTCAGATTAAAAAAAAAAGACACCTGATCATTCTCTTCTCTCAGGTGCATCAACAACTTCTGCCTCAGATGCATTTTCTCCTCATTGCCAATTCCCCTGAACAAAAGGAAGAAAATTAACCATTAAAGGCCACATTACAATCAACACGCCGTTGCATGTTTGGTTCAGCTTGGTTTTTACACAAAAACAGTTTCGCAGCTGAACTATAAAAAGTAAAAAGTCTCAGAAGCACTCACTAACGACCAAATTCAGAATCGCTTACCAGGAATCGCGGCGATGGCGCCAATAGCGATTGATGCTGTTCTTGAAATATACGGTGGCCATCATTCGCACATCCGCCTGCGACGCCAAATCCTTGGCCATAATCACTTCCTGCAGTTCCGTTCACCAAAATGAAAAGCTCAAAAGAGAACAAAAAAGCACAATACAAACTTCATCAGAACCCTAAGAGAGAGATAGAGAGGTACGAGGAGGCAGGAGCAGAAGCCAGGCCTGGACTCCAATTGAGCAAGGGTATCCTCTGCAGGGCCACGTAGGCGGTGATCGGCGCTCATGGAATTCGCGAGCAACGAGTACATCACTGCCACGTCGGAGGCTGAAACCGCCATCGGCGAGGATGGTCGAATAGAACTCTTTGGTTTGTGCAAGATTTGACAGTGAAATCGATGTTAAGTGGAAGTAGGATTCTTGCAGCTAATAATAACTGCAAATGAAAATGGAAGATATATGTATATATATATATATATATATATATAAATATTTATATATATATATATATATATATATATATATATATATATATATATATATAGTGTGTGTGTGTGTGTGTGTCTGTGTGTGTGTGTGTGAGAGAGAGAGAGAGAGAGAGGCAGGGAAGAGTGTTGTTTGTGTTCGAGAGAAAGAGAGTCTCAGTGTAAGGGAGGGTTGAGAGCATTGAGCAGAGAAGGAAAAGGGCGTGTAGATCCTAATGCCATTAATATAGCCACATCAATTGTTATTTGTTATTTATTTAAAAATAAGAATATTTATTTTAATTTTTGTATAAACAAAATTTATAACATTTTAAGGAAAAAACTAATTGTTTTACTTTATACTTTTAAATTTTTATAAATAAAGATAAAATATTAAAGGTTTAGAGTAAAAAGGTGGGGGATAATTATGAAAAATGTCAGGTGCAAAAGTAAAAGTACTTTTAACTCTGAGCTGAAAATTTGAGACACTGCTTGAATAATGTTTGTTAAATTTGGCAAAGGCACATATCATCAGTATTCAGTGACACTTACCAGCAGAGGTATTCAGATGGAGTTTGTTAAAATCCTAATTATCTTCATATCTGTTGACATTTGAAGCTGCTTCCTTTGCTGGTAATGTAGAATTATGTGGAGCTCCTTTGAGAAAAAATTGTAGTCATGCAGTGCACAGCCTGTCAATGTCACCACCCACCTGGCGGCATGCAATTGATTGGAAAATGTTGAAAGCAAAAACATCCTTTTGTTATGGTTTACCTCAAATCAAAGAGTTTGCTTATCAAAATGAATAGAATACCTATCATAATATTCACTCTGCTTATCAAGTGTTACCAATAGGAAGACCTATCACAATCTTTAATTCTTTAAAGGCGATAGTAGGATCAAAAAACCAACAACCAACACTCTAATATTATGTTTCATCCATACATATTTATTAAGCTAATATAAAGTTAAAATATAACTAATTGATATCAATATTTAGTTAATTAAACATGTGGAAGCACATTACTTTTATGTCTAATAATTATTTTTAATGTTCTCATATTAAATAAAATATACTGATTTATTTGCTTCTAAACTTTGGTAAGAACTATTATTAATACACTTTATTTACTATAACATTGTTAAAGATAATTTTTTAAATATAAAAAAAAAATATTTACTCTCACATGTATGGTATGAATAAAATAAACCAATTATTAAAAGCAATTAGTTACATGTTAATTTTGCTATAGACCGGATAAATATACACAAATAAGACATAACATATAATGTAAGTTACAAAATTATTAATCATGTTACCATCTTTAAAAGCAAGGTAAATAGCTTTGCAACAATGCTAACCAAATATAGTAGTCCACAAAATTACGTATAGTTGAATAGTTTGCTATGTAAGCTTCAAAGATTATTAATTGGCCTATTAATTTCTTGTGCTTACGCAAATTATCTTACAGTAAGTTGAGACAAAATGGAGAGTAAAAAGGTAAAGATGCATCTTTCACATCCATGGGTCTTTAAGGTAAGAATGTCATTATGGTTGATATTGTTGGCCAATATTATAGCCCATACAATCTTAGTTGAAGGTCAAATTTATTTAATTAATATATCTAGTCTCTATATATTTTAGTACGAGAACTGTTACAAACATATTTTTTATATATTTTTTAATATACTTTTAATCATAGATTAAAATTTATTTAAAATTAAAAAGTATAATAAAGAATAATTAACTTAGAAATGAAAATCATTAAATTAAAAATAAGATTCACATTATTTTTTAAATTGTTGATAAATTTAAATTAATAATTAAAAGTATGTTAAATAATATGTTACTTGTATTTTTCATTTGAGTTTATTTCTTCCTAAAATTGCACTTGAGTAACATTTTATAAGCTTATTAATGATTAAATCTATATTTTGTGAGTTAAACTAGATTATACTTAAAAGATAATTAGCTCTCCGTCGTAGAAGTCTAGTGACGAGGTTTTAAGGGAGGCATGTGTTTAAGCATTGGTCAAGTCTTAAAAACTTGTATGTATTTTGATTGAGAATTTTAAATCACTTTACTTAGATGTAGTTAAAGCAAAATAGTTAATAAGATTTAAATATGCTTTCTCACTCATATTTGTAGGAATTTAAGGATGAGTCACTTGCGAACATGTTACATGCCTAATTAATTATTATTATTAGTTAAAATCATAATTTTTTATTTATTTATAATCAAAAAAGAATGTTAATAACACACTCTTTAGTATATACATATATATATATAATCATTAGTTAAAATTTATTCAAAAGTATAAAAATTATGTCAATCTTACTATTCTTCCATTATGAGAATGCTAGATATATATTCTAAAATTAAAATTGACTGAAGATGATACCTAAATTAATTATTTTACTTTTTATCCAAGTTTTTGTTATTTTTATTCTAAATTTTCTTATTACTTTATACTAGTATTAGTTTTTGTATTTTTTTTATAAATATTTACTTTTATATTTATAAAAATTATTTTATTTTTTCTAAAATTTAAAATTTAATTTTAAGTCTTATTTCTTAATTTTATATTTGTTAATATATATTAATGATTAATATTTAATTTTTTATACTATATAATTAAAGTATTATTTTAAAATTATTTAATATTTATTATTTTAATGCATATTACTCAATTATAAAAAATTAAAATAATTTTTTAAGAAAATTATTATTTAAAATATTTTATTATATATAATTATTTAATATTTATTTTAAAAATACATATATCGCACAAACTGTTAAATTAATAAAATAATAAAATTTGAATGTAAATCAATAATGTTAAATCACATTAAAGTTTTTTTTATGTGAATACATCTAGTAGTAGAGAAATATTTCTTTTCCAACACTAATCTATTGCTTATTTCAGAGATAAAATAAAAAGAAAATAATTTATATCAAAAACAAAAATATTAAGCTAATAATACAATTTTTTATATAATATTTAAAAAAAATATATCAAAATATAATATTTTAAAAAATATAAATTTTTAAATCATTATCATTAATTTAAAAAAACAAAAAATCCTTCTTCTTTCTTTTTAACCTTTATATTCATTTTTTTTAACTTTTATATTCAACTATATTATTTTTTTTATACCAAACTTTTTTCTTTCTCTTTCCATTCTCTCTACTTTTTTCTTTCTCTCTCCAATCCTCTCTTCCCTTACACTTAAATTTTTAAGCGATTCTGCAAAATTTATTTAAGTTAAAAAATTCACTTAAATTAATTTTATATAAAAAAAAAATTTAAGTCCATTTTCACTTCAACAAAAATAAAATTAGATGTGAAATTTATGCAATATATCACATCCCATAAAAAGAGATGACATCATATGCCAGAAATTCTGAAATCTCGTTGGCTAACATTCGTGGTGACGCACCAAAATGCCACGTGTACCTAACGGCCTAAACCTCGAAGCATCTCGACTCTCCCGCAAACCTTATTTACATAACAAAATCGCTTTTCCGTGGTCACTGTTACCTCAGAAAAACCAACGCTTCCGATTTCCGATTTCAAACTATCTACGGCGACCTATTCGGATTCGGGTATGAGGACCCGTCCATCCATCACATGGGTCATCGTCGTGGCCATGTTCTATTTTCTCGCAAGCTTATCGCAATTGCAAGCCAAAACCATCGACCCTTACAAGGTTGGTTAGTCTCAGAGCAATACTTTTATGTTTCTTTTTTAGTGAGATTTGTCTGGGGTCTCAGAATTTGGGAAACTTGAGGTGGAAATTCTGGAAAGGTATTGATTTTAGTGGGTTATTTCGGGATTTCAAATGGGTGATTGGTGGGTTAACTGCATATCATTTTTAGGAATTTGGTACATTTGGCGTAATTGTTGATTGTTACATGGAATGCTCAATCTGGGTTCTTTTAAAAGTTGTCAAGTTTGAGTGTTCATTCTACTGCCTAATCTGATATTGACTTTTGTAAATCACATTACCACAGTTTGGTTTTTCCTTCTTGGTTTAGTTGTATCAATCGTACTCTGAGAATGTGCTTGTTTGTTTAAGTTGAAGAATATTCACTTGCAAGTTCTTAACTTAACTTGGGTCGTAAGTTTAAAACCTGAATGAGAAAAGGGCACTATTTTTTATGAAGAAAGAAAACGGAAATTTTTATGTATTTATTAGTTTATTCTTGTGAGCGTGAGCTGATTGTACATGCCTCAATTTTCTCAGGTTCTTGGGATAGATAAAAATGCAAGTCAGCGGGAAATTCAGAAGGCTTTCCACAAGTATGTCTACTTTGTATTATTGTTGTTTGTCACAAGTTATCATTTAAATCCAGTTTGATAACTGCTTTTCCTTATTAACCTGCCTCATATTTTGTTTTTTAGGCTCTCTCTGCAGTATCACCCTGACAAGAATAAAGCTAAGGGTGCTCAAGAGAAGTTTGCTCAGATCAATGATGGTAAGTTGCTTTCTCTCTCTCTCTCTCTCTCTCTCTCTTCATACATTATAATATATACGTGTGTACTTATCGCTCAGACATACACGTGCACCGTCCTTTCACAGAAACAAGCTCATACTTCCTGGAACAAAGAGTTGATACTAAAGTCAATTATTGAAAGTAGATTTTGGAATTAAACACCTAATTGAATAGATAATTACAGATTGAAGCTGTCCTAGAGTTTTAACAACTCCTACAGAGAATAACTCTGTTCAAAGAACTTGCGCATACATGCCAAAACTGTTTATTTTCCTACAGTGCATATCATATACGAAAATTACATATTTTTCCTACAAATCCTAATAACAGTCTACAATAAGACCGTTGATAAAATAACTGCTCCTACAGATCAGCCAACATGACAATTAATATTACACTTATGCTTAATAATACATGACTCCTAACAGTAATTATTAATTACTAATAGTAATTATCAATTCCCATCAATTATAGAAGTAGTGGCATGCTGTTTTGACTGCTTATTTTCTACCTTTATCTTGTTTGAAGAAGTTCATTTTGTGTATATTTTTTAAACAGCATATGAAATTTTATCGGATGAAGAAAAGAGGAAGAATTACGACATGTTTGGAGATGAGAAAGGAAATCCTGGATTTCACGCTGGCCATCCTGGAGGTCAGAGTGGATATACTTATGTTAGGACTGGTGGTCCTGCACAAAGCCATTTTACCTTCAAACCAGGGGAATGGCAGAATATGGGTGGGCAGGGAGGGTCTAAGCGATTTTCCTTTTCCTTTGGTAGTTCTGGAAATTCAGATCCTTTTGGATTTGATTTTAGTGATGTTTTTGACAATGTTTTTGCTGATGGAGGTGGTGGCAGATTTGGTAATGGTTTTGGCAGTTCAAAAAGTTCTCAATCTGGATCCAAGAGTTCTCCCAAAAGTTTTAGAGCCATAAATTCACACATCTACAAGCAAGAAATAGAAAATGAAGGGATGACTTGGCTTTTGTTATCTTATACACCCTCATTGAAAGGGACCCAGTACTTTGAATACACTGTAGAGGAGGTTGTCAGTTCATTGCAAGGAGCTTTGAAGGTCCTTATTTATTTTTAATCTTGTTCATTTTCATTGATTGTTTTGAAGTTGGAATGACTTATATATATATATGTGTGTGTGTGTGTGACAGGTTGGAAGCATTAACTGTGAAAAAGAAGTTTCATTCTGTAAGGAGCTTGGTGTATATCCGCACAAAGGTCCAAGGCTTTTTATTTTCTCTTACAAGGAGAATGAAAAGGGTTCTTTGGTGGAGTACAGTGGTGACTTGACTGTTAAGAATTTGAAGGCTTTCTGTGTAGAACACTGCCCAAGGTTCTCTAAACGGATCGACTTGAACCATCTTGATCAATTGAGCACTTCTGGAAAGTTGCCTAGGGTGTTGCTTCTCACCACCAAAAAGGACACTCCTGTAATTTGGCGTGTTCTTAGTGGCGTGTATCACAAACGCATTGCTTTCAGTGATGCAGAGGTATGAAAGTGCTGGTTGTGGTTGTAAATATAACTTTTTTCTCTCGTTAATTTCTTTCTTTAGACCTATAGGAAAAGTCTTAAACTTTGTTTGAAGGTAAGGTTTACTGTGTATCTTGAATCATTTGTAGGTTCATGATTTTTCTGATCCAATATTGAAAAGGCTAGGAGTTGATGCACTTCCAGCTATTGTAGGTTGGCTACCCAATGGAGAGAAGCGTATTCTGAAAACTGGGATTTCAGTAAAAGATTTAGAATCTCCAATTCTTGATCTTACTAACATACTTGACAATTTTGAAAAAGTAAGCAAAAAGGAAGGATCAGGTCAGGCCAAGAAGGCACAAACTGATTCAGATGAGCGACACATACAGTTGCTTTCTAAGTCAAACACTGATGTTCTTTGTGGTGAGAAAACTCCAGTCTGCATAATTGGTGCCTTTAGATCTTCTAAAGCTAGAGAAAAACTAGAATCAATCCTCTCTTTGGTAAGTGTACATTTCATTTACTCACGGGTTTGATGTGTATATTACTATATTATTATTATTTTCTTTAGCAATGTCTCAAAAGAAACACTATGATTTCAGGTCTCTCAAAAATCTTTGTCAAGGAGACCAAATCATGGAGCCAGCAGCTCTAAGGACTCCATTTCCTATGCTCTATTGGATGCTTCAAAGCAACAGTCATTTCTAACTGCATTTGACAAAAAAGGTTTTAAATCATCAGATAAGTTGTTGATTGCATACAAACCTAAGAGAGGGAAGTACAGTGTATTTATGAGTGAAATGACAATAGAAGAGGTAGAGAATTTTATCAGCTCCGTTCTCAGTGGAGATATACCCTTCAGGGAAACACGTGGGAAGCCTCTACTCAAGTAGAACATTGGGTCCTAAAACTGGGTTTTGCAGTGTTTTGGCTATAAGTTCATGTACATATTCAAAGATAGAGAGACTTTTGTTTTTTTAATACTAACAAGAATACATATTATCCGAGTAAGACAAAAGCAAAGTGGAAATGGATCCATCAAGGATGATTCCTCTAGCTTTCACTGTCATTGGCAATCGGCGTTGAGGAAAAAAATAATAGTAGATATATTTGTAAAATTGATCTATTGACTATGTTGGTTGAGTAAAAACACAATCTAATGTCGCCTCAGTCATACATAAATTCTTTTTCCTATAGATTTATATTTCCTCGTTACAATGTCTCATCAACTAAATAAAATTAAATTTATATATTTTTATTTTAAAAATTAAATTAAATTCAAATTTAATTATAGATAGTTTGATTTTGTGTATATTGTAATATTCTCCTAACTGTGACCTTGTATTTGCATGGTAGAATTGCTTTTTATTTTTAATAATTATAAGTAATATAGTTAACATTATTACTATTGTTATTCATGTATTATTATGGTAAGTAATGATATTTATTTTAATTATTAGAATACAGAATTATATTTGTTTATCAAGTTACATTTTTAAAAAAAATATTTATTCTATTTTTTTTATTAGAAAGGTGTCTTACAATTAATTTGGATGGATCTATCATTAAAATTCAGTGTTCAATTAGTTGCAGTAAAAATTAAATTGTTAATATTAATGTCTAAGATAATCTGAAAATTTGAAATTTAGGGGGATGTATTGGTTTTTAAGTAAAAAAATATGTTGGTATTTAATTAAGATTTTATGACACTTAAAAACAATCTAGTGGTATTTAATCTAGATTTTTAAGATTTTTTAAAGAGTCCATTATAGGATGTATCTACTATTTAGATGTGTTTTAAAAGTTATGTGCAATTCTTGGAAAAAAAAAAATACCTTTATAAGATACATAACATATTTGTATTGAAGAAATACTTGCATCATTCTTACAAATTGTTTTTGAAAATACTCGATATTGTATAATTTATAACACATTTGACCAATTACAATTTGTTATAATTGAAAATTTTCAGAAGATTTTGAAGGCTTTGAATTTGATGGTTAAATTAGGATCAACTGTGTCAGTTAAAATTAGAGAAAGCATAAGGTTCTTCCCTTTTTTTAAAGTGTGTACTAATTATCTTACAATAAAAATTATTATTAAATTTTACACTACTATATCTATATTTTACATACGATGAAGTGTTATATATGCTAAATTTTAGGATTGCATTGGAGCTATTGACGGAATACATATTCTAGCAATGGTGAGGGGACGAGATGTAATTGTCATGGAAAGATATTACAAAATGTATTAGCCGCTTGTAATTTTGATTTAGAGTTGGAAGGGTTCGGCTCATGATTCTGAGCTACTAAATGATGTTACAACAAGGAAGAATGGATTTAAAGTGTTTCAAGGTGAAAGTATTTATTTTTTAAATAATAATAATAATAATTTATAATTATATATATAATTAGATAAATATTTATTGGTGGATTGTGAATTTCCTAACCGAAGCCAAAATAACCTTGAAAATGAGAAAAAATTGTTTAATCTTCGTCATACGTCTTTAAAGAATGTGATCGAGAGAATATTTAGTATTTTTAAATCAATGTTTACAATTTTTAAGTCAGCACTTCCATTTTTATTTAAGACATAAGTAGAACTTGTGTTAGCATGTGCAACACTACATAACTTTCTTCGCAAATAATGTTCTTTTGATGAATTTCTAATTGAACCGATGGATGAACCTTCATCTTCAACATTACCAGTTAATAAATATCATAATTTTAAGCCTATTATTCAATCTCATAAGCAAGAGTGAGAAGACATTATTAATATTTGGAGGACTAGTATAACTATGAATATGTGTGTGAATGTCATTTAGAAGGATATGATATTACAGAGAATTATTATTATTATTATTATTTATCCATACATTATTATTTTTTATTATTTTTGTTTTTGACTCTTTTTAAATTTAAATATATGAAAAAAAATTTGAACTCTTTATGTCAAAAATCCATGAAATTCTGCAAAGTTCTGCAAAATTCATTAAAATCTTGACTTAAAAGTCTTGTAAAATCCATTAAAATCCTGATTTTAAAGTCTTGCAAAATTTTACAAAGTTTTAAAAATTATGAAAATTCTACAAAGTCTTTTAAGATTGGCATGACTTTTTTCAACTAAAAAAGTCCTTTAAAATCCTAATACAATACACTCTCATAAATTTTTTATTTAACTTACATATAACAGGCAATAACATAGGAGTTTTGTTGTCATTTTGATTGTTTCAAAAATATTTTTTTAATGTATTTTACAAGCGACTTGGATGTTTTTCTACAACTCATTGTACTTCAAATTTTTTTATTCATTATATTAAAAAATAATTGTTTATTTAGATTTTAGATCTACAATATTATTTGTTTCTACTTTATAATTATGCCAGAATTATACATGCTGAAAATGTAATTAAAAAAATTACTTTGACTAAAAGCATAAAGTTCTTGATATGCAATATGATCTTTGTTAGCGTAATACACGGTAAAGTTAATGCAATTATATACATTTAATATACTCATTACTGAAAATTTGAAATTTTTTTAAAAAAAATTTTCATAAATAAGTTATGTAATAAATTTTAATCAACTAAACAATCATTAAATCAAATTATTTAACCGATTAATTAAATTTAATATATTCATTTATTGATTATTATATGATATGCCAAAGTAATCAAAGTTATATAATTTTTATTATTTTCGAGTAAGGTACTCATACGATGCACCGGCTTTTTATAATACTTTTTTTAAAAATAATTTAATAAACGTACGAATGATATTTTTTAGTTAAACTAATGATTTTTGCATGTACCACGCGTACTATTAAATTAAATTTTAAAATATATTATATGACTATTTTGAAATTCTATAAATATTGGAATTATTAATAATAAATAATATATATTATTAAATGAATTTCATAAATAAACAATTTAAATTCAAAATAAAATCATAAAATATAAATTAATATTAAATTAAAAAATAACTATTTAATGTTAAAATATCATATAAAAAAGAAAACTATACTTCGAGACGATAATGCATTTCTTTGTTCATAATAAAAATATAAATAAAGATTCAAAATTTTAATAATCATTTTATCATATGATTATAATGTACACAAGTAGGGTTGATTTACCCAACATAATATATTTTTAAAACAAATTACATATCATCAAAATAGAAAAATTTTAGTAATTTTTAACAGTTTTGAAATGTCTCAAATAACTTCAGCCAGAAAATAATCTTAATCAGATGATATATTTTAATAATTTATTTTTAATAATATTATTTTAACCAAACTTCGGACAAGCAGGGTCAAACTAAAAAAAAAAACATTTAAAAAAAATTACAATAAAATATTTTATATAAAATGCATTTCATATGATTTAATGTACAGTGTCTGTTTAATAAAATTAGTTAATAAGTTAATTGAAAGTTACAGATTCAGTCAAGAAATAAAAATATTTAATAAAATTAATTGATGAAATTAACCAGTAAATAAAAAATAACATATAAAAATATTATTAATTTTTACTTTAGATTTTAAAATTTAATAATTATATAGTTTTAGATAAATATAATTTTTTATTTTTATCCGATAAAATAAAATAATACAAATTAATTTATATTATTATTTAGTAATTTAGGTATATTTTAATAAATTAATTTAAAATTTTTTAATTAAAAATAATTTTAATAAATTTAAAAAAATGAGCTATAAATAAAAAATCACTTTTATTCTAATAAAAAATTATATTTATAAAAATGTTAACATAGTATTTTAAAATTATATATGTCAAAAACAATGAAAATTTTAAAAAATATTACAGAAATATAAAAATTCAAAAATAGTTAATAATAATTGTTAAAAAATAAAATAAAAATACTAATAATATTTTTTAAGTTAAATTTATTAATTTATTGAAATTAAAAAAATATCAATTACAATTTTTGAATTAATTTATTATTTTAAAATATCACTATCTACAATAGTTTTATATTTCTATAATTTTCTTCATCATTTCACTAATATTTAGCGTTTCTTATATATTTCTTTCTCCGATTAAACCATTATTTGTGGTAAACAATTATTTTCAGTAAATAAAATAGGTTTTGCATGTTTAAGTTAAGGTAAGACAGCATCAAGGAACATATCCATTGGCTTCGCCGCCATTGTTTTCCGTCAATTTCTTCCATTTTTGCGTCTATTTCTATTACAATCTTACCCAATTAGATTGTGGGGGGTTCAAATTCTTCGTCAAAATTCAATTTTTATTTTGAGATTTCACATTTTTCTTTCAATCAAGCAATGGGTTGTGATGAACAATTTTTGGAGCACCTCATATCAGAAGATACCCTTCAGTTACTTTTTGAAGTTTCAAACTCTTCTAACTTGGAAGAATCCTTAGAGATTCTCATTCAGAATGCAAAATCTGATTCTGGGCGTTTGGACTTAGCTTCCAAAAGGGTTCTCCCTGCAGTGCTGAACATAGTTCACTCGCTCACTCATGCTTCACACAATCATCATCATCATAATAGTGTTCTTTCTCTGTGTTTCAAGCTCCTTAGAAACTTGTGTGCTGGTGAACCTGCAAACCAGGGTTCATTTCTTGAGCTTAATGGGGTGGTTCTTGTTTGCAGTGTTTTGAAGTCAGAGGTTGGTTCTTCTGGCCCTAATCATGGGTTGCTTCGTTGGGGTTTGCAGGTTCTAGCAAATGTTTCTTTGGCTGGGAAACAGCATCAGCATGCTATTTGGGAAGAGCTATATTCGGTTGGATTTGTGTCTCTTGCAAGACTTGGCTCTAAGGAGATTTGTGACCCTTTGTGTATGGTGATTTATACATGTTGTGATGGAAACCCTCACTGGTCTAGAAAGTTGTCTAGCGATGATGATGGCTGGCTTATTATTGCAGATATTGTGAGGACTGCCTCTCCTGGTCAGTTACAAGTTTTATGTATTTGCTTGTGCAGTGTACTTTGCTGTTTTTTCCTATTTGTTTGTGATTCTTTTATTTTGTTTAATGGCCTTTTTAATTATTTGGTTTTTGACAAAACACAATGACATTGGGTGATTCATTTGTTGAACGTCAACTAGTGGGATAATGCTTACTTGTGTTGTGGTTTTGCTGCTTATTGCTTGTATACTTGCTGTTTCTCTATGGTGTCATGATGAGTATTATATGGGATTATGATAGTTTTTAAGCTATAACACTGATTTTTTTTTTTCATTGGTTTCTTCTACTAAACCAGCTGGTTTTGACGAGGATTGGTTAAAGTTGCTTCTTTCAAGAATATGCCTGGAAGAATCTCAATTGCCTGTATTGTTTCCTAAATTACGGTTTGTGCATGTCCCTGAGGGTGAAGTTACTGAGTCAACAAATGATCAGTTTTCATCTGATCAAGCATGTCTTTTGCGAATCATATCAGAAATCTTGAATGAGCAGCTAAGAAATGTCACTGTTTCAAATGATGTTACACTGTTTGTTTTTGGAATATTCAAGAAGTCTATTGGAGTTCTTGAACATGCAACTAGAGGGAAGTCTGGTCTTCCTAGTGGCTCTGCTGAAGTTGATATTCTTGGCTACTCTCTTACCATATTGAGGGACATTTGTGCTCAAGATAGTGTGAGAGGTAATATGGTGGATGCAAAGGATGTTGTTGATTTGCTATTGCCATATGGCCTCATAGAGTTGCTTTTGTCTTTGCTTTGGGACCTTGAACCTCCAGCGATAATCAGGAAAGGAATCAAACAATATGAGAATCAAGACGGTACTAGTTGTTCCTCAAAACCATGCCCATACAAGGGTTTTAGGCGAGATGTAGTTGCACTTATTGGCAATTGTGTGTATAGAAGGAAGCTTGCACAGGATGAAATCCGGAAGAGGAATGGAATTTTATTGCTATTGCAACAGTGTGTTACTGATGAAGATAATCCTTTTCTGAGAGAATGGGGCATATGGTGTGTGAGGAATATGTTGGAGGGCAATGAGGAGAACCAAAAGGTAGTTGCTGAATTGGAGCTTCAGGGATCTGCTGATGTGCCTGAAATTGCTGCACTTGGTCTCCGGGTGGAAGTTGATCAGAGAACTAGACGTGCAAAGCTTGTAAACATCCCATGAAATATCATTATAACTCGGCTGTATCCATACATTTTTACTAGGTTTTTACCTGTATCGTGTCTTAAGAAAAGTGCAGACATTTCTTAGAAGGTTAACAACAAAGGCAATACACCTTGTATGGTTCATGCAATTTGAACATACTTGGTTAAGTTCTTGATCAGTTAAAAGCATTTAAGATCAATTGATTATATAAGTTTAGGTGGACAACCTTTTGCAGAGGAAACAACGATCCTGTTTAGGGACTGTAAATAAATTTACTACTGTCGGTTAAGTTTTGAATTTTGCTCTACCAAACGGATGCTTGGTTAGTTTTTAGGTTGAAATTTTTATTTTTTTTCTTTCAAACAAGGCTTGGGAATACTCCCTAAAGAGATTGACAACACATCAACCCCATCAGAAACGGCTTGGTCCATGGCAGCTAATACATCAGAATTAGCACAACCAGAAGGCCAGCATACTTTATAAGCTGCAATTCTTGAGGTATACCTCATTCCACTTGCTGAACCTCTAGCCACTCCAAAAAGGCTTGCATTTTTCACTATATCACCAGCTGCAGTTGAGACAGTGTGTTCCATGCCCTTGGGAATCTCTTGGGGAATGATAATCCACTGTTTCATTGATTTGTCCAACATATTTTCCATACTCCTTGAAATAGGCTCTTGCACCAATAAGCTTCTTGTTACAATTTGAGGCAGAGAACATGGTGCCTTGTTTCACAAACACTTATCCAATGATAAGGTACTGAGGACAAACCTTAGTCTTGGAAACTGATGTGTTCAGGCCATATACCTGAATCAAGGACACCAATAATTCATTAGGTATGGCAGAAAGGAAATCGTCCCCTTGATTCAAATATTTAGGTTGTCTCTTGGAAAGTTGGGCAGCAAAACCACACATGCTGTTTTTGTAGGCGTAAAGGAGCTGAGGAGCTAAAATCTCTTCTTCTTCCATTGAAGCTTCAGAAATGAAATCAATGATTGATTCAAACCAAGGCTTTGAGCTATCTTGAGAGTGAATTGAGGCTCTGATCTTGGTCTTGTCTATGTGTACAACGTATGTCTGTTGGTCCAAGAGAGCTATTGAATTTGTCACCATGAAGGCCAGGACTAGGTAATATGCTCTTGGCGGTACACCTGTTGATACTAGGTAATTTGTTTATGTCTTTTAAATTTTTTCTGCATGCAAATCATAGCATATGGTTAATTCATATATCTGATAAACAGTTTTTCAAATTGTTTGAAATTGTTGTGGAAGTATTCCTCAAGAAAAGTTCTTCTTGTGTTTCATTTTCTGTTTCCTCCACCCCCTTGAAAAGAAAAAGAAAAACAAATTGGGATGTGGGAATATGCCTATTTCAATGTTAATGCTCAAATGTTGTACTCTGCTCAAGCATTTTTGTTTTTTTGCAGTGAACTGGACCTTAAACCCCGGGGAAGGTTAAGAGTGAATGTATTGGAAGCGAATGATATAAAGAATATGGAAATGTTTGGGAAGTCTGATCCTTATGTGGTTGTGTATAGTCGACAACTGTTTAAGGTTAAAACGAAGGTTGTTGACAACTTGAATCCTGTTTGGAATGAGGTGTTTGACTTGATTCATAGAACAAGGAGACCAGTCGCTCATTCTCGAGGTATTTCACTGATGGAAGAAAATTGAGAACTTTATGAGTAGTTTATTTTTCGAATAAGGTCAATAAATGAGCATGAGGTGCCCAAAATTAGTCTGTTCAAGTGTGTTATTGATTTCGACGAGTTGAGATAAGATTTTCAAAACTACCATTCAAATATTAATATTATTATCATATTATCGTGGCTAGGGCGCGTGGCATGAAGTTAAATAAAATATTTTATTGACTTCAACGTTTTAGACTAAATTTAAACATATATAAATATAATTTTTTTTTAAAAATAAAATACTCTATAAGAGATATAAAAGTATAATAAATAATTTCAATAAAAATTAGTATTGTTAATAGGGATGAGCAAAATTGGGAACTAAGTATCCTCTGTAGTAATTGTACTTCGCAGTTGTAAAAATGATAAAATACAATAACTATAGGTTGCAGTTGTTACCAAAATTACAGAGCAAATCCAAGTCCTAAAATATGTAAACATGACCAAAACTCAGTTAAAAATGAGAAAAGGTAAAGCAGGTAAGCTTATGTCATACTTCAGTTAAGACAGACCATCAGTAACAATTCGACCGACTAACCTTCTCTCAGACTTTTCTGCTTTGCTATTTGCAAAACCAAAGTCAAGAAATAGAAAATCTAGTTTGCTCTCTGGTTTGTTCAAAACCAGAGGCACAAAACATAAATCTTGCTATAGTAAATGACAACTTCACCATTACACGTGCTGTTATTGCACAATTTGATGATAACGACTAAGGAGGATTGGAATGGCTCAACCTGCAACTAGCCACCCGAGTCATCTGACTAGCACGAAGCTTAAATCAGTTGAAAGTGGGCCAAAATTATTGCATTTGATTTTCACTAGATTCACTATTTTGGGCTCAAATTTATAGCTATCCTAAATTAACTTGGCCCACACATTTCTTTGTTTTTAAGAGAGTTGATACCTTATATAAAAAAAATTTAAAATGCTTAAATAACTGTGGGATTTTAGTCTCTACTTTTTATAAATTCTTATTTTTAATTTTTATTATTAATTTATTCCATTAAGATGTTATCAAGTATCCGTTTTTATTAAACAACATTAATTAAAAGAACTAAAATAGTAGTTCATGGAAAGATAGGGACTAACAAAAATCATTTGAATGAATTAAAACAAACAAAAAAATCGTTAAAATGTGAAGACAAAAAGTTATGTTTAGGCCTTTAAAAAATGTTCAACAAATTTTTTTGTGTAAAGTGTAGAATGGACAAGCTAAATTAAGGTAAAATATTCCGCCTTACTTTGATTTATATTCTCATTTTTAATGTAAAAGTTTTTTTTTTCTATGCTTTTCTATCCATATTTAGTTGTTGAATCAATTTTCTTAATATGTAAAGAAAAAAAGGTATAATTTTAAGAAATAAATACTTTATTTTAGCTTGAATAAATAACTTGGCCAGCACAAATTTTTTTTTTTCAAAATAAAGAATTTTCAAATACCTGCATCAAATTTTGCATAAAGTTAACATTTAAATTGTGCATGATAAATATTTTTATACAAAAATATTACATAAAACTACATCAATATTAAAATTATAAAAAAATATTAGAATAAATTACGGTTATATCTTCTAAATTTTAACAAAATCTTATTTGATTTCTTTTTTGCTAATTTATTTGATATTTTTTTGTATATTATTAAACATTCTTCAATATATATATATATATATTACATGGTAATAAAATTGTTACACATAAACATTAATATTGAAATTATAATTATATTAATTTAATACTACTTATAAGTCATATATAATTATCATCAATTACACGAGAATCCATGCCAGTATGATTTACATATGTTGGCATTATATTTAAAAGAAAATATATATATATATATATGTTATGTTATGCGTGATTTAGATTTTTTTAAAAATAAAACACCAGTCATTATAATTACAAAAATAATTCGAAACTTACATAAACGTGTAATTATGATACAAAATTACATTAATTACGTAAAAATGCGACGATTCTATGTCGGCATTGGAGAAACAACCCTCACGAGTGGATCGTGTTTCCATCTGACATGCCACTGTTGTTTCGGATGTTTGTCTACAACTCCTTGTACTTTAGAAAATCTTATTTTTATTTATTATAAAAAATATTATTTTATTTTTATTTGGATCATTTAAACAATTATTATTTTTATAAAAGAGTTATTTAAGATAAATAAAATTTTAGAGTTTATATTAAAAGTCATTAATTTTTATCCTAGCAATTAATTTTTTAAAATACAAAACAAACTATCGTATATAATTTTATAAATCCAAACATGATAAATTATTTTAAAATCGCTTTTCAACAACAACAAAAAGAACATACTGGTCACGAATAGATGTATTTATTAATTGAATGAACAATTTTACTTGTGTTCCTTTTTTGGACACTTGACACGTGATAGGGAGTGATGCTCATGAGAAAGCGACACGTGAGAGTCCCAACGAACGAAAATATATTGCAAATTGCTTCAAAACCTGTTTAGGTTTGGTTGGATTCGATTACCAGCGACTTCGCTGGTTCTTTATCTCATTGAACCAATGGATTATCAACACCCTTTCAATTTCACAATATAATATAAAAATACCTTTTATCTCGTTTTAAAATAAAAGAAGAAAAATATTATTACATATATCATACTAATGAAAAATATATTAAAATTTGCAGGTACTTTACCACATCTTCATTTGCGTTAATATTCATCACTCACGGGAATTTTGTGTTGATAGATTATACACAAAAAGATAATCTTAATATTTCAAACAAAGATAATGCATATTGTTAAACGTATTAGTAAGGTTACACCTTAATATGAGAATTGGATATATCATAAATCTTATTCTTACAAAATTATCTATTGTTATTTGTCATTAGTAAAGCTTAATTAGTATTTAGATAATTTCAATTTTTATGGTTTAATTAACAATAGAAAAATTTTATTTAACTATAAAAATTGAATACAAATTTATTAATAAAATTTTTTATTCAGTTGTGTTGCAATTACATTCTACTATTATTAATTTGGCATAGTTTTTAACTTATTTTTCAATAAAAATGTAAAATATAAAATATTGTGAATTTTAAAAACAATTTACAGAAATTGATTTGTTTTAAAATTTTTGCTAAAAATCGTGTATTGAATCTAAATTAAATTAAATCGTAAATTTATACATATGGCATAGGTTAAAGTTATTATTTTATTTTAGTTAAATGAAATAATAGAAAATAAAGTTTATTAAGTATAACAGTAAACAAGAACAATAACTCATTTTAAATTTATATTATATAACCACAACTTTCACTCAAATTTTAATATTATTTTATTTAACTCGATTAATAAGTTGTTCATTATAAATATTAAATTTATTTTTTAATATATAAAATTTAAAAATTTATAGAAATACAAAATTCTAAAATCCAATTGTGTAAATATTGGTGGAACAACAAAAAGTGTGAAAATTTCAAAATTGTTAATAATAAATTTTAAAAATATTAAAAAATTGTAAAAAAAATTTTTAATAATAATTTTTTAAAAATTAATAAAAATTTAAAGATAATAAATTGCCAACGGTGATTTTTAATAAAATAATAAAATTTTTAAAATACTAAAAAAATACTAGCATTTTTTGTCAAAAATTGAAAAGTTTCTATATTTTAATAATTTTTTTAAGACACCACATTTTAGTAATTTTTTATTTGTTTCATATAAAAAGTCTAAATATTACCTCACTTTAAAATTAATAAAAATAAACATATCTTAAATCTTGTTGAGTTCATACTTTAACTAAATACGGAAGGTTAATTAATATTAAGTCGTATTTAATATTTACAACTTTAGAAAAAAATATTAAAAATGATTACTAAAAAGTTATTATTAATACTTATGATTATTTATTTTCTACGCCATATTAAGAATTTATTTTGAATTATACTGATGAACTGATTAATTGAAAGGATAAAAAGGAACAAAATTAAACAAAAGAGAAAAACATTTTATTTCTTTGAAAACAATTGAAAGTAAAATAATTCATCCTTCATTTAATGCTAAGTAAATTAATAACAATGAGAGAGAAAATAGTATTAAAAAAAAAGTGGCTGCCTTGAATTGACGATTGACCTTGTCTGTGTTATTGGATACGATTTTGCCTTGGGTTTTGTCGTCCATTGCTTTACTTGGGACCAATCTATGGAACCAAGCTGGCTCAGAAGGGAAGCAGAGACCTGGTTCGTGTAGATTCCAGAACACCAACGGAAAAGAAAACAAAGAACACTACAAAGTTCATTAATTTTTCAGAAAAACCAAATCAGAATTAAGACAGCAAATAGAGAAACAGTATACCGCCCGTGGTATGAGCAAAACCAAAACAGAGTCTCCTTTTTCCTTTTCCAACTAACTCCCACAGTGTTTCCTTTACCACATCTCAAAGCCACACTCACTAACCAAAATTGTCTTATGCTATATAAGTACACAACATCTCTTCCTGTTTCTACGCTCATCTCTTCCTCAATACTACACTCTCTGTTCTGTTTTTGTCTCTCTCACTAATTCAAAATACTGTCACTTTCTATAACCTTAAAGTTCTCACTCAAACTAAACCCATTCCAACACCCCACATCACAACCTCTCACAATGGACACAAAGATAGGCTCGTTAGACGCCCCCAAGCCCCCCAGCAACGACATCGTGTCGTGCACCCCAAACAACACCGCCGCCATCCAACCTTGCGTTCCCTCAACGGCTGTCGCCTGCGGCGATTCCACCATGGGTCGCCACCTGGCACGCCGGCTTGTTCAAATTGGCGTCACCGACGTCTTCTCCGTTCCCGGCGACTTCAACCTCACTTTGCTCGACCATCTCATTGCCGAGCCGGCGCTCAACGTCATCGGCTGCTGCAACGAACTCAACACTGGCTACGCCGCCGACGGCTATGCCCGCGCGCGCGGCGTCGGCGCCTGCGTTGTTACCTTCAGCGTCGGCGGCCTCAGCGTGCTGAACGCTATCGCTGGAGCTTACAGTGAGAACTTGCCTCTCATTTGTATCGTTGGAGGGCCTAACAGCAACGACTATGGCACCAACCGGATCCTCCATCACACTATCGGGTTACCCGATTTCAGCCAAGAGCTGCGGTGCTTTCAAACCGTTACTTGTTTCCAGGTCCCAGTTCTCTCTCACTCTATTTTTTAATCCACGTTTGGAAGTGGTTATGTAAATGATTTATGATATTCCTGAATTATTTTTAGTTTATTTATGATTAAATTTATATCCCATGAAGAGAGCTTAGAGTTTAAGCAAGTATTTAGTGAAACTGATTATCCAAATACACTGGTCTTTCATTTTATCTTAGTGTTAATGTTTGTTGAATTTTGGTATGCTTGTGGATGTATTTGACTGTAGTGGATTTATGATTTATCTGTTTGTGTTGCGTGAAGTTGTTTTAAAGGTGAATGTGTTAATGTGATTTGGTTTGTTGATAGGCTGTGGTGAATAACTTGGAAGATGCTCATGAGCTGATTGACACAGCAATCTCAACCTCATTGAAAGAAAGCAAGCCTGTGTATATAAGCATTAGTTGTAACTTGCCTGGGATTCCTCACCCCACTTTCAGCCGTGATCCTGTTCCTTTTTCATTGTCTCCCAAGTAAGCCCTTTTTCTGGAAAAAAAGAGAGGTATTTTTTGTGTGTGCTTAGATTAGTTTATATTTATATTTGTTTATTTATTTTGTTTTGTAGATTGAGTAACCAGATGGGGTTGGAGGCAGCGGTGGAGGCAGTCGCAGAATTCCTTAACAAGGCAGTGAAACCAGTGCTAGTGGGTGGTCCTAAACTGAGGGTGGCAGCAGCATCTGATGCCTTTGTTGAACTTGCTGATGCATGTGGTTATGCACTTGCTGTGATGCCATCGGCTAAAGGGCTAGTTCCGGAGCACCATCCCCATTTCATTGGAACATATTGGGGTGCTGTGAGTACTGCATTTTGTGCTGAGATTGTGGAGTCTGCGGATGCATACTTGTTTGCTGGTCCTATTTTTAATGACTACAGCTCTGTGGGGTATTCACTTCTTCTCAAGAAAGAAAAGGCGATCATTGTGCAGCCTGATCGGGTTGTGGTTGCGAATGGACCTTCGTTTGGGTGTGTGCTGATGAAGGATTTCCTCAAGGCACTTGCAAAGCGTCTCAAGTACAATAGCACTTCATATGAGAATTACCACAGGATATTTGTCCCTGAAGGGCATCCTCCGAAGGCTGCACCTAAAGAACCTTTGAGGGTTAATGTTCTGTTCCAACATATACAAAAGATGCTGTCTGGTGAAAGTGCTGTAATTGCTGATACAGGGGACTCATGGTTTAACTGCCAAAAACTGAAATTGCCAAAGGGATGTGGGTAAGTATATAAGAGAATGTGATTTGTTGCAGTTCTCAACTTGTTTTCCATAATGTTTACAGTGTTGATAAAAATCTTGTTTACAGGTACGAGTTCCAAATGCAATATGGTTCAATTGGATGGTCTGTGGGTGCAACTCTTGGTTATGCACAAGCTGTACCTGAGAAACGAGTGATTGCCTGCATTGGTGATGGAAGCTTTCAGGTTTGTTTTGCATAACTTCTTAAAAGCATGATTTCAATTAGAATGTAATTTATTTTTCCTCAAGTTTTTCAAAATTTTCTCCCAATTCTTCACTCAGAAACAATTCTTGAACTGAATTGTGGTGTTTTTAATACTTTGCAGGTGAGTGCCCAGGAGGTAAGCTCAATGCTGAGATGCGGGCAAAATACCATCATATTCCTGATAAACAACGGTGGATACACAATTGAGGTTGAAATTCACGACGGACCATACAACGTGATTAAGAACTGGGACTACACTGGGTTGGTTGATGCAATCCACAATGGTGAAGGGAAATGCTGGACTACCAAGGTGAGATTGTTGTTGATATTGAACAATGCATTATCCTTCAAACATCATTAGCCTTAACATTGTGAGATGCTAATATTGTAATGATCCATGCATGCTTTCATTTCAGGTCTTCTGTGAAGAGGAGCTAGTTGAAGCAATTGCCACCGCTACAGGACCCAAGAAAAACTCCTTTTGCTTCATTGAGGTAATTGTTCACAAAGATGACACAAGCAAAGAGTTGCTTGAATGGGGCTCCAGGGTCTCTGCTGCCAATAGCCGTCCTCCCAATCCTCAGTAAACTAAACTTTACAATTAGCCTATTACTAAATTGTTGTAGTTGCTCTTCAGCTTCTACCAAATTGAGATTTCCTTGTACCGAATTTACTTTTGTTAATCACTTTGCAGTGTTTATGCATCTGGGTCCACTTGTTTGTGTAAATTCTGTCAATTGAGATAAAAAAAAAATAAAAATCCACCACCTTTGTTCATTGTGCAAAGCTTCGCTGTTTCATGATTCTTATTTAGATTAAACATCGTTTTTGACGATTCTTAGGTTGCAAATGGCATATAAATCTAATTGAGTTTTGCTGGGTTACACTATTTTACTATTATCAGTGCGAGCGCAAGTCACATATTTGGACACTAGCTAAACGACGAAACTTCTTTCCCATAAAATAAAATTTTATATTATTTGGTCATATAGAACATCCTCGTAGTAACTACATTTACAGGTAGCCGTTGGATTAAGATATACATACACACGTAAAACTGTGTCGTGTTGCATTTATGAGGTGCCACTGCCAGGTGTGAGGGTGCCACTTGAAAAGCATAAGCAGGTGCAAGAAGAATCCACATGCTAAGTACAGGGAGTGAATATTCGTAGCTAGTACACTTTTAGGATCCTGATGGATATTTAAAATATAATAAAAATACAAAAATTATATATACATCTGTGTATATATATATAAAATTTGTTTACATAGTTAAGTTTTCATTCATTTTTAAATTATTTTATATTTATAAAACCGAGTATTAATTATTTTTCGTAGTTTTACTTTTAAAGATACATTTTATTATTATTTTAATATTTTTGTATGCCTATTCACTTTATATTAATTTAAAGATAAATTTTGGGTGTATCATATTTTTTTATATAAACTTTATAACTTATGTAAAACATAAATTTTAATTAAAAATAGCGTAAAAGAGACAATTCAATCAAAACCGGTTTCAAGAAGACTGAATTGAATATAAAGTTTTATTTAGGTTAATTGAAATTGAACTACAATATATTTTTATAATATGATCAGATGAATATTTATGTGTGAATGGATCTATAGTCTATTTCAATGTACAAGCACACCTTAAGTGTGACGTTTGGTGAAATGGGAAGTTCGATGTATGTCATTCCATGTAAATGGTTCTTTGTTTAAATTTGTTATAGTTTTCTATGTAAAATAACAATACAAATTGAAAGTACAACCTTGAGGTAAAAATAATATTATATTTTTTAATAAAATAAGGTCTGTTTAATTTCATTTTTTTGAATATTCCATATAAATATTAACAATTATATTAATAAATTATGTATGATTTTACATTTTAAAAAAATTATAATATATATAATTGTTAAAAATTATTTAAGGAGGGGACGTCAGGCCCACCTTTGTCCCCCTTGGATCTATCATTGATTGCCTATTAGTATCCCCAGGTGTGGAGTGTTTAATCTGGCTATTTAAATTTATTAAAATATATTATTTAATAAAGCTTTTTATCATATTATAATAATATATATTTAATGATTGATATTTAATACAATAATAACGTCAATGCTAGAGGATCTCTTTCCATGTCTGATCACACTCGGAACAAATCTGTATTGTGTATTATTTGTATAAATTGCTCCCACAGTTTACTATATTACATTTAATATAACGTAATTAGTTCAGTGATTATTGACTATAATCGTACACATTACTTTTGTATGTTCATTTCTCCCAATTTTTCTGGTTTGTGATTATTGTTAGTTCCACATTTTTTTTTTATGTTTACATAGATGTTGGCAGTGGCATGGTCAAAAATAGTTTTGAGATACAATAATTGAACTGTAAAATACATTTCCCAGTTCACACTGATTTACAGTAATTGCTTGGAGTTTAACATTACGCGCGCCAAAAAGAACGGTTTCTTTTGACCAAATTAAAGTGCATAGTGCATTTGCCACTGCTTGAACTTTGAACCACGCGATTCAAAGATGATTTACGAGTCCACTCATGAAATGACCTTGAATAATTAGCAAAGAAACTATACCGTAACAACCATTAAGATTGATATTTACTATATATTAAAGATTAACTTAACGTGGTCCTGCAGGTGACAACAGAAAACATTTTCAATGAAAATCCAAACATTCATTTGCTTTTCAATGAAACCATTCTACTTTTTGTGCCTATTAGACCTTATTTTTGTGGTTTCTAGCCTTTGTTTGGAGGATCAACAATCTTTGCTGCTAAAACTTAAGAACAACCCCAAATTCCAGCCCCGAAATTCCAGCAAACTTGTGTCGTGGCATCATAGCATAGCTTGCTGTGAGTGGAGTGGTGTAACCTGTGACAAGGAGGGGCATGTTATTGGCCTTGATCTGAGTGGAGAATCAATCTGTGGTGCACTTGGCAATTCAACTAGTCTCTTCAGTCTCCAAAATCTTCAGGTTTTGAATATGGCTAACAATAATTTCAGATACCATCTGGATTCAGCAAATTGAAGAACTTGACTTATCTGAATTTGTCACATGCTGGCTTTGTGGGGCACATTCCACTAGACTTTTCTCACATGACAAAGTTGGTTACTCTTGATATCTCTTCTTTGTCCTATTTAACAGGTCAATCCTTGAAACTTGAGAGCTTATATTTACAAAATTTTTTCCTAAACTTCACCAAGATTAGGCAACTGTATATGGATGGTGTAAGCATAACAGCACAGGGACAGGAATGGGGCAATGCATTGCTGCCACTGCTTAGTCTTGAGGAACTGAGCATGTCAAACTGCAATCTCTCTGGACCCCTTGATTCTTCACTGACCAGACTTAAGAATCTGTCCGTCATTCGTCTTGATCATAACATTTTATCATCCACAGTGCCTGAAACCTTTGCTAATTTTCCAAATCTGACAACACTGAACCTTAGTTCTTGTGGGTTGACAGGAATATTTCCCAAAAGCATCTTTCAGGTAGCAACTTTGGTTGATGTAGACATATCATTCAATAATGATCTTTATGGTTCTTTGCCAGAATTTCCGATGAATGGACCTCTTCAGACCTTGATTGTGAGTCGCACAAGGTTCTCAGGAGCAATACCAGCTTCTGTAAGGAATCTGAGGCAGTTATCCATCTTGGATCTTTCGAATTGCCATTTTAATACAACTCTACCCAGTTCAATTTCAAGACTCAGTGAACTCACACATCTGCTCTTATCCCTTAACAACTTCACTGGTCCAATTCCACTCTTGAATATGTCCAAGAGTCTCGTATGTTTAGACCTCTCTCACAATCACTTAACAGGTTCAATTACTTCTGTTCACTTTGAAGGCCTAAGAAAACTGGTCCAAATCAATTTGCAGGACAACTTTCTTTGTGGAAGTATTCCTTCTTCTCTTTTTGCACTCCCAGTGCTTCGAAGTATTCAACTTTCCAACAACAGTTTTCAGAGTCTGCCGCATGAATTTTCAAATATATCTTTCTCCATGTTAGAGTTCCTTGATTTAAGCAGGAATAATTTACAAGGTCCCATTCCTCTATCTATTTTTCATCTTAGATCACTTAATGTCCTCCAACTGTCTTCAAACAAGTTAAGTGGCACATTAAAGCTTGATGTGATTCAGAGTCTTGCAAATCTAACTACCCTTGATCTTTCATACAATCACTTGTCAATAGACACAACTGTTACAAACGCAAGCCTATATTCCTTCCCAATGATGAGGAGTGTGAAGTTGGCTTCTTGCAACTTGATAGAATTCCCTAGTTTCTTGAGAAACCAATCCCAAATAGGAATTTTAGACCTCTCTAGCAACCATATTAAGGGATCTATACCAACATGGATTTGGAAACTTGACTCTCTTGTCCAATTAAATCTTTCTCGAAATTTGCTCATAAATTTAGAAGGACCTGTGTATAACACTAGTTCCACTTTGAAGGTCCTTGATCTCCACTCTAACCAACTCCAAGAGAAGCTTCCAATATTTCCACTACATGCCTCTTATTTGGACTATTCAAGCAATAATCTAAGTTCTACTATTCCATCAGATGTTTTCACTAACCTTTCTTCCATAGTTTTCTTGTCTCTTTCCAAAAATAGTTTATCCGGGAGCATTCCTCAATCCTTGTGCAATAACCCAAACTTGTTAGTTCTTGATGTTTCCACAAATTACTTAAATGGGACAATTCCAGAGTGCTTAACACAGAGCAAGACTCTTGTGGTATTAAATCTGAAAAACAACAAGCTCAATTTCAACATTCCAGATGCATTTCCAGCATCTTGTGCTCTAAGGACTCTTGATCTCAATGGGAATTCACTGGAGGGGCCAGTTCCCAACTCTCTCAGCAATTGCGCTTCATTAGAAGTGTTGGATCTCGGAAACAACCACCTCAATGATACATTTCCATGTTTCTTAAAGAAGTTATCAAGACTCAGTATCATGGTTCTGAGGGGAAACAAATTCCATGGTCCTATTGGATGTCCTCACATCAATGGTACTTGGCATATGCTTCAAATAATTGATCTAGCTCTCAACAATTTCAGTGGTTTACTCCCAGGAAAATGCTTTAAAACCATGGAAGCAATCATGCATGTTGATGGTCAAAATGTATCAAAGTCCAACCACATTGGAAACGCAATTAATGATATACATTATGAGGATTCAGTGACCCTTACATGTAAAGGTATACAGATGGAGTTTTTCAAAATCTTACCTGTGTACACATCTATTGACTTCTCATCCAACAAGTTTGAGGGGCCAATACCAGAAGAGCTTGTGAATTTTACAGGACTTCATGTTCTCAACTTGTCACATAATGCTTTCACAGGTCAAATCCCATCATCTATAGGGAAATTAAAACAACTTGAGTCATTGGACTTATCTAGCAATCATTTTGATGGAGAAATTCCTAAAGGGCTTGCTAGTTTAAGTTTCCTCTCATACCTGAATCTCTCCTGTAATTATTTGGTGGGGAAGATTCCCACAGGTACTCAACTTCAGTCATTTGATGCAAGGTTCTTTGAAGGCAATGATGGATTATATGGATCACCATTAGCTGAAAATCCGGGGGGTGGAGTGCATGGTGTGTCATTGTCACCACATGCAAAGGTGCATGCAGTTGATATTGTGAGTGCTGAATCGGGACTAGTTTTTGGTCTTGGTCTTGTTATTGGTCCTCTTTTGTTTTGTAAGCGATGGAGGCAATGGTATTGGAAGCATGTGGACTTCATTTTGTGTTGT